GATTCTTAAACTATATAACTTTTTAAAACTGCTAATTTTTAACAAATGTGGAAATTTCCGCTACACGGTCACATCTCCTATTTTATATCTTTTTTCGAATTCCTAAGAGACAATGGCACCTAGCCTAGTACAAAACCATATATCGACAGATCCATAATTTTTTATTACAATATTTTTTCCACCTGCGCTTCTTTGTCTCTCGCTCTTTCTCTCCCGTTTCGCCTCATCTCATTTTAGCCGTATATGCAAGGTGTGCGTTTTCTTACCCCGTTGGCACACTTTCCGTCTGGTTGCCACAGCCAACCAACACCTTATTATTTTCTTCTTACCTCAGTTATTCCCAGCACTTACTTTTCTTTTTCCTTCGTTTTTCTTTCCGACGGCACAACAGCTGTTGAAAGTGTGGTGCATAGTTTAGCTTTGCCACCAAGACTCCTCATAAAACCAAACCGACTGAGAAATTCACGAACCCAACACTAATTACCAGCTGTGCGTATATGTCTTCGGGTTTTCTCGGGATGTAGTTGGACCCAAAGACCTTTGAGCGTAAACGCCTACAATCCACTTCAACATTTCCCAACCCCCCCCCCCCCTCTCTCTCTCTCTCTCTAAACTCCAATAATGGGTCGCGACCACATTTCAATGCCAAACGTTCATAATGATCCGTACTTCCTTCCCCACACTTTTATTTTTCAGTTTCTTCCCAAGGATAAATTACCACAAGATGAAATATGTCTTTTCGGGAAAAAACTTTTTTTGTTTCCATTGTTCATCTCTATATCTTCTTCTTTAATCTTTAACCACTTCCGATTCTAGCAAAAAATGCTCCTATACATAGAGACGTCTGTCGTTTTCGTATTTCTTCGTACACCCCAATCAAATATGCAGATTCAAAACAGAAGAAACACTCACCGGTGTGTTTGGATACATTCCTTCCATTTTTTCTTGTTCCTTCATCATCCATGCCTTCTTCCATTTCCTTCTATTGTCCTTCCGATTTGGAATTATTCAAATGTGTATCGTCCTCACATACATATACCGCGTCTGCTTCTCCTGGTAGATGCCACCAGAAATTTCCGAGAGGGTTTCTCTATCTAATTATCCCCTCTTTTTTGTATCATCCATGATTCCGGTCTCAAGACTATATCGGTGGAGAGGAGAACAAGGCTGAAGACGATAGGCTGCGACCACAAGAGATTATTTCAGCGGCGGCTTCTTGAAAAACCTGATTCTATTTTTTTAATACTTAAAGTTAATCTATTCTCTTTAAAGTTTGCGGACTATTAAGCTACCTATCCGCCCCAAGAGACCACCTGTTTCTTTCCTTCCGACGGTTTTGATTGAATGGTGCCACTCAACTTGCTTCTGCTTCTTCCTATCTTTTTTTGCATATTCTTCTAGTTTCTGGCGAAATCTTAGTTTTCTTACTTTTCACACACAAACCAAATCATAGCAAATTATAACCGAAAGTTAGAGAAACAAGACATAATAATTGGCTATAATGAACTATGTTGTTGTCTTCCTTCTCTCCACTCCTACTTGTTTTCTGCTACTGCTAAGACCACTAGAAACAACACAATACCGTGTGCAGGTGCAAGTCCGTAAATATCTCATCATTATTCAAATGACTCGATAATCTCCGCTGCCCCCTCCATTTCGGATTGTTTTTCTGCTTGAGCACATATTCACATAGACGTCTCCCTCCAATTTCTCATATTTATCCCTTCCTCCAAAACCATCTCGTTCCAGCCAGCCGCTCAGATTTTCAAGATTTGCCACATTATTTTGGACAATCCGTTTTCAAATCTCTTTGTTTTCTCTCTATTTCTCTCGTTATTTTTGCTTCCCTTCTTCTTCACGCATGTTTAGCCCCCATTTGAAAACCAGAAAAATTCCCATCATTTGTCATTGACTCTTGTCCTGTCCGAGAATGTGTACGAAAAAGAAAACGGACCACTGGAGGAGCCCACTTTTATTCGGAGGCCTCTTATCCATTGTTGCGCGAAGACGTTTTTGTGATGTTTTTGCTTTGCTTTTTTTTGTTTTAGTTTTGCATTGTTTTGTTTCCCTAAATATGACTTGTTGACTCGTTCCTTATTTCGAACAGGAATTTAACGTAAAATATAGTGAATGAAAGTGAGAAAATTCCAAAAATCCTTAATTTATCAACTGAAAATCGCTTTTCGAAAAATTAATAATGGAAAAAAACATATCGTGTTTTAACTTTCTGAATGAAAAATCATTAATTTTGAAGTCTTGAAAGAACATTCCAGGATATTTCTATCTCTCTTTAAAATCCGTAGTTGCAGTCGACAATTTTTCAGGCGAATTCCATGTGCCGTTTTTAATCATAAAAATACCAATAATGAAAAAAAACCAAGTTTGCTCTGAAAAAAATTTACGTGTACTTTAAGCTCATTATCTTCATCCATTGGAGAGATATCAAAAATCTCTTGACTGATGAAATAATCGTGATGTTATGATAAATGATTTCCCAATTTGAAAATTTTTGATATCATTCAAATGGAGCGAGATAATTGAGTTTCAAATGCACGTGTGAGGTATTGATGAAAATATTAGGTTGAACCGAAAGTTTCTTTCTTTTTTGGAAACATTTCTGATCAAATTGTTCTCAAAACCAAGGGGACTAGATCAATGAAAGTAACGTGTATAAAAATTGATAGTTGTCTAGCAATGTTCCGGGAATTTCTTGGTTCCATCGACCTAGAACAAGGAGCGCTGTGCTTGAAAAAGCGAGTCAACCCCTTTTTTGGGTCATCTTTTCACTTGAAGTATTTTCTACCAAGATGTCGTTGAAGAGCTCCAAAGGACCACTTATCCGAAAGGGCGAAACCTGGAGTATACGTCGGGTGCAAAAGAATAATTCAGCCAAACGACATGAATTTTTGGCTGATCCCTCTAGCCACGGGTGATCTCGCATTGTCGCGCTGGAAGAGAACTTGAGTTTTTTCTCCTCGTTTCGATTTGACTGCCAAATTCAATTTCTCTAATTAGGAACTATACTAGGCGGCAATTATTGTGGTACTTTCATCCAAATGTTCCCTGTCACCATTTCTTTGAAAGACGACCAAACACATAACATACCATTTTTCACGTCAAATTTAGGTTTCGGGAAGCCCAGAGCTAGCTTTTCTTCGTCAATCAGCAGACTCTCCCGCATATTGATAGAGTGACTTACCCGCTTATCATTTACGGTAGTTAGATCATCCAGCCAACGGCACGTATCAAGAAATTATAGGAAAAACGTGCTCATGTCTACACGGCGATCCATTTCGCAGTCCTTCAAAACATGGGGTATGAATCAATCCAACTTTTGACTTCGCCAAGAAACTTCAACCCGTTCACAATACTTGGTTGACTAACGGACAATGTTTTTGACATTTTACAAGTGGTTTGAAATAGATCCGCCTTCACGACTTTAAGCAATTGATCGAAATCCAACACACTCGGCCGTTGACAACTTTCAAGCTGAGCTCCCCCGGGCGGAATGTTTAAAGTCAAACGCAAGTTGTAGACAATGACGGAACATGTCCTTTATATACATTCAAAATTTGTTCACTAATACCAGGCGTTTGAAGACCGAATAAAAATAAAAATATAATCATGCTGCGAATGTGCAGTCGGATAAGGTCCAAATGAATCGTCTTTTTTCCAACAGCAAGGGAGATAAAAATTTACAAATCCACGATCTAATAGACACTGAACATAGCTCTCCAACAAAAAAGAAAATTGGCCCGCTAATCCAGTCAGAGAACCAGAAACCGAGGCTCAAAAACAACGCTGACAACGCTGAAGAAAGAAACTTTCGGTTCAACCTAATACAGTAGCACTAAATTTAAGTTCTGCAGCTTTATTGGTACAAAAACAATTTCAATCACAAATTCAGGCTCTAATTTTTAAAAGAATGCTGAAAAATTCAATAAAGACAGAATATTTTGAATAGTTTTCAGGATTTTTAAAATTTCATTTTCCATGAAAAAAACCAGACATAGTATTTATTTGTCCGACATTGTAGAATTTCTTGAAGAATTTTCTGACATATTCACCTGCTTGTAACTCAACTCATTTTCGTTTTTTAACGTTTTTGAGTAAAAATGCATTTATGGATTTCTATTTTTCTAAAGTCCAAAAATATTCAAAAAGTACAAAACTGAAAAAAAAAACTCAACCTATGATTCGTAAAAGAACCATAAAATTGAAAAGTGCATTCATATATTTTTTCTCACACCGGAATTCAGAATAGCCATTATGCTCTTTGAATCACCTGCACTTTTCTCTCTTGCTTTTTCTTACAACAACAACGTCTTCAGATGTATACTTTACCTATAATAACTTCTACTGAAGTTGTGACACATAATTCTCGATTTATTTTTTGTGTGAATAGACACATTTGACTAGTATCATTGAATAGGCAATTCTGGTTGGCGGTGTTACGCTACTTATTCATATTCACAGCCTAAACCCATTTTTTCCTTTCGTCTGTTTTGGTTAACTTCGCATTGCGATTCAGAATAAAACTAAAAAACAAAGATTTCGCAGTAGTAGAATAGAAGCGCGAAATGTATGGCGAACACGTTTGTTTTGACACGCTTCAACCATTCATCCTACTAACTGATTTCTGAACAGATTGACATTGACCGATATATCCTAGAAAAGATGAGGCGTCGTCAGTCAGTGCGCATCCTTTTTGGTTTTTCCGCTCACACACACTAATGTTGATTTTATCAGGTATATATCTTAAGATTTTGGGGACGGCGGTAGGAGACCCTCCGGTGTAAAGAAGAGACAACGACGACGACTACGTCAATTACGAGTTGCGCATTCCCTTCTCATTCCCATTTTCTCTTTTCTTCATCACCGTTTTTCCACACCAGCACTTGTTTCTTTTTTGCGTTCGAATCCTTTTGTCATCCATCCGATCCGTCATCTTTTTAACTACTCTCTTCTGATTACAGGGTGTATTACATCGGACATTCAAAATGTCGGAGGACTATGTTATTGTCAAATTCGACTATCTAGCACAAGAGGATCAAGAGCTGACAATCAAAAAGAATGAACGGTTAAAATTACTGGATGATAGCAAAAATTGGTGGAAGGTGAGTATTTTTATTCAAAAAACCTCTGGAGGAAAGTTGAAAAAAAATGAAATAGAAAACTTTAAAAAAGAACACTTTAAGGAATGAAATGTTTGAGCGAAGATTTTATTCTAAATCAACAATGAATGTACTTAAACTCTATTTACTGTAACAAAAAATGAGGAATTTCGTTATAAACTTTTTGCTAGCGATATTTTCTGAACTATTAAAATCTTTTGGTTTGAGCTGATAGAAAAATTCAAATTTTGTAAAAACGTTATGAGAAGTTTTACTGCGACAGCCTCGAATAGAAGTGACTGTCAATTTCAACCGAGCCTACCATATTTGTTCTAATAGAAGCCCATCCTAACCATGAACTTTAAGCCCAATTTTCTCGATTCCTGTCAAAGATTTCCAAGAATTGTCAACTGATAAAATATCGGTGATCACGTGGTTAATAATTTATTGTTAACAAAGTTTTGGTATTTGTCACAGATACCGTGATAATTAAATTGAAATTTGACGATTAGAGTGGGTCGTTATTAGGGGAAGTATTGTATGTTGATTTCTGTAAAATGTTTCAGCGATACAAATGTTTTTGATATTCTGATTTGTGAGTTAATCTTGTCTTAAAATTTTCACATAAAAACTATCTCAAAATTCTTAGTTTAGTGTCACTTCTATAAAAGTTTTGCAGTATTCTAAATGTTCAATACTTAAGTTACTCTGAAATTGCGTTTTTCCAACTGCAGATTGAAAAATTGCTTTTTGACTGCAAGTATTTTTAACTTTGTTTTTTTCAAAAGGCTTCAATTAAAAAGTAGTAGATTTTCAAATTCATAGCCATAGAAAAATTATTATCTGCAAAATTTTTCTCAGAACTTGAAACAAAACACATTATTGTAGGATGATTCACCAAATTGTCATCATTCCAAAGAAGGTGGCAAAATATGACATACCTCAAAAAATGTGATGAAATACTTTGAGAAAACTCTAGAGCTTTCGGAAATGCTCATCTTCAGTTGTGAACTCTCACTTAGGCTTTTTAGCGACTTTCAAAATAAGAAATTTTTTGAAAAATTCGTTAAGTTAGCAAACCAAGATTTTTACATTTTCATAACCCCAAATTTTATTGTAGGTGGTCAACGACTCAAACACTATTGGTTTCGTGCCATCAAACTACGTGCGGAAAGAATCAATTGTGGACAAAGCGAAAGGAACAATTAAAGGTTTAGCGCGAGGTCGCAACCGATCTTCAGATCCGGAGCCGGTGAGTGTTTCATTTTGTTGCAACCGAATAAAAAACAGCTTTGCTTCCAAAAAAAAACAATCCGCATAAAACTGGCGCGTCCAACCTGGCCAACACTATAAACGACAATAATTTCGCACTCTCTCATAGTTCTTATAACTGTCAAAACCAGTCCTCACGTTGGAAGATGTCTATGTTTACACAACTTTTTTTTCCTCGAAAAAGAAATTGATTGAAAGCCGCTCGTTTAATTAAAAATGTTTTGAAGAGATGTCGCTGTTACAGTTTCACGTAACACATTCTTCGATAAAACTTTTTATTAGCGGTGCAAGGCAAAGTTTCTTATCAAACCTCGTGTACACTGGCATCGATCGTTTCAGCCTCCTTCAACTTTTTCCCTCACCTGAAGAAAGTGTGATGTCATCATTCCAATTTTTCATTTCCATCGATTGAAATTTTACAAAGAAAATTTAATTTGTGAGATTTTCTTTATTCTTATAAGTTTCCTTTCATAAAACCATCAAAAACCGTATCTTCTCATCTGTTACCGGTTTGCGCGTAAGGTGTGATGCATAGGTACTGTTATTGCACACAAACCGACGGACCACTCTTCCCCACACTGGTCGGCCCTCAGTTCATTATTATTTATTGATTCTACCTATGCTGTCCCGTTCTTCCGTTCTTTTCGCCATTTTGACAGGTTTGACTTTATTATTGCCTTCTCTCTTCATCTTTTTTTTTGCTCGCGGCGGTTTTTATTGCGTTAATAGTTTTCGTAAAGCGTGAACTATGAGGGAAACGTTGAACTTTTTCTATTCTTCAAGACGCAAACCGTCATAAATGACCGAAACCGTTAATATTTGTGTATGCGTCTTTATGCATGCAGGCGAGCGCTTGCGTAGTATCACTGTCGTTATCATGCAGCACCTACCTGAGGCGACATGGGCAAATGAGTCTCCGAGCAAAATGAAGAGAGATAGAAAAAGAAACGGTCTCGGTCTACAAAACGCGCGCGCGAAACTTCTACCCATTTTCTTTTCTCTCTCGATACGTTTTTGTCTCAATCGGAGAGTTTTTGGCTCTTCTGGAGCCTTCTCTTCACCTCATTCTCTACTACCAAATCGTGTTTCGATGTGTGTGGTTGCATGCACATTGCCTACAAGCTCAACGCTCACACTGTTTGCGTTTGGGACTGAAGGTAGCGGGTGCGAGAGCTGCTCCCGGCCCACGTACGCAAGAAGCGATAGTTCGGACAGAATTTCCGGCTTTTTTTTCAGACGTTTTTTTGGTCTGCAGACTTTTTCGATTTGAAAGGCGTAATTTGATCGAACTCGAAATTTTCTCATCCTTAGAATTTTAACGGTTTCTGCAGTAGGAATTCCGCTCTTTTGCAAAACACATGTTTGTGCTCATCGCTCTTTTTTCTCTGAAGCTCTACTGCGTAAGGCAAGAAATACGCATTTCTTGGGTGCTTCGTCTTCTTTATAGAGCTAATTCACTGTTTTTGAGTTTGCCACTCTTTCAAGAACGCAGAATTTTGCCTCAACGTCTTTTCGCGCTTATTCTATGTTTTTAATTTCCAGGAAGAACGAGTCAACGGTCTCGAACGTCTTGCCTTCAGCTTGAACAACAATTGTGCAATCAATCCATCGACAAATAAGGTGAAGTTTTCGGATACTTCATTTTGAATCTGGAATAAAATAACAATTTTGATCTGTAAAGTTACGCTAACAATATTACAAAAAATTTCCACGAAAAATTCAACTTATTTTTCTCCAGATCCCCATGATGAGTTCGAAAACGAAAGCAGTCGTCAAGTTCACCTACGAACCAAGACTCGAGGACGAGCTCGGTCTGACCAAAGGAGAATTCGTGTACGTTGTCGAGAAAAGCACCGATGGCTGGTGGAAAGGAGAAGCGCCAAACGGAGGAGTCGGATGGTTCCCATCAAACTATGTGGAAGAGGTCGAGGCATCTACAAATGGAAATCAGGGAAGCATCGAGAACAGAAAACCAGTAGGTGCAGCAATCCCACCACCAGCAGAACCATACCGTCCACCACAAGAAATCCATCAGGCGCCACGCGGACATATGGAGGTTAGAAATTAGCTGAAGCGTGTTTCAAAATTAAATATTTCAACTTCAGATCGTCGTTGCACTTTATGCATTTGATGCCTCGTCACACGAGGAGCTCTCATTCAGTAAGGGAGAACGACTGACAATTGTGGACCATCCAGAGCATGATCCAGATTGGTGGCTGGCACAGAACGCGCAAGGCTCAAGCGGACTTGTTCCCCGGAATTACATTGAGGTAGGTTTTTCCATTATTATCCTCAAATCTTTCGGAGATTGCTGAGGTTTCATTTAAACTTCTAGGTCCTATGCTTAGACTCAAATTCTAGGTGCCCATCCGCTAGTCTCACAGTCTTCTAAAAATTTTCATATAATTCCAGGTGATCGACGACTCGGCGGTGGAGAATGTGACCAACAACACTCCCCAATTCTCTGGAAGAGAGCGGTCAATGGAGCAGGAGCCGTGGTTCTTTGGAAGAATCTCGAGGGAGCGCGCCGAAGAACTTTTGCAGTATGCCCGCAGTGGTGAATTCCTCGTCAGAGACTCGGAGAGCCATGTAAGTAGCAAATTTGATTTTGGTGATGGGATTTGAAGGAAGAAGAGTAAAGATGTGTAGATGAAAAGGCGTTAGATGGAGTGGAATGGTAGATGATAGACTAGAAAACATGTGGTTATACGGTGGTACAAGAAATAAATTAAGTGTAAGACTATGTTCATGAGAATGATGTTATCATAACAATTTAACACCTCGAGGGTCTGATTTCTGTTTCATAAACTGCAAGTGGTTGTGGTTTTCTTTTTGCACCGGTTTAACTTCAGATTATGATTTTTCCATAGTTCTGGGGCTTCATTACCTGTTAGCCGTCACTGATGGCACGGTTTTTGTAATTCGTTCAAGCTTAGCTTTTGAATTGCAAGGAAAACAGTACTCGTTTAGGGTTTCATTATTTGAGTATTTTTCTTTTGAGTTGAAGGCTGATCCATACCCCCAAACTATAAAGTCTTTTATTATTTAAGCTAGAAGAGAGAAGTAAAAACGTCAATCCAATCTTCGTTTCATACAAATCTAGAAGTATTAATTATCTAACGTCTCATATTTCAGCCCGGCGACTTGTCTATCTCCGTGCGAGGAACCGAGCGCAACAAGCATTTCAAAGTGCAAACGATCGATGGCCAACTCAGAATTGGAAACCGGACGTTCCCAAACATGCACGCGCTCATCAGCCACTACACAACCAATCCATGCTTCTCGTCGGCAACTGAGAAGCTCTACTTGACGAGTCCACTTCCGAAGTAATCACCTCATTTGCTCATATTATCATCCATTCACACACCAGCCAAAATCTCTATGCAATCCACATCCACCGAGTATCCCATCTCTTTTTCCTGTCAAAAGTTTTTTCTAAAAATTCTTTCCGTCATTTCTATCACTAGCCCTGTGTTTAGATATGTTTTCTTTTTCAAAATTAATTTGCCATCCACCGTTATGAACAAATTGAACGGTTGATCACGGTTTCATGTCTTCCTTTGAGCAATTTTCTCTTTATTTCCCTCATCACAATGTCTTATTTTCCTCCCCCATTCACACTCATCTCCTTCTCAACTCAAATTCAAATCCTTTCTTTGCTCCACAGTTTGACAACACTACCGTTGTTGTTTTTTTCTCTCCCCAAATAATGTCCTGAATTCCAATTTGCCATATGTGATAACTGTAAATGAATTTTCAAGTGGGCAGCAAAGTGTTTCCTTTTTTGGGATTCTTATCGTAGCTCAAAAAACACCAAACGTCATTTTTCTACTGAAACAGACGAGTTAGAGCTGAAAATAAACCCCAGTGGAATTTGAAAAAAATTTGAAAAATGAAGAACGTAAAGAGACGACGTAGGTGACGAGAAAAGAGAAAAGTTTCGGAAAACGTTCTAAAAACTACCAAAGAATTAAAGACGGCGTGAACCTGAATGAGAAAATTTAAACTGACATCACCTAAATTTTTAATGTCCAAAATATCTCTAAAAACTCCAATAACGAAGAACATCAAAATGAATAGATTTCAAACATTTTTTCCAGCAAGTTTCAATTAACCAAATAGTGAATTTGACAATATGACATTGTTGTGCACAGAAACCGCGATATCTTGGAGCTGAAATTTTAACACTGACTGCAGACTACTTTATCTTCATGTTCCCGAAATATTCTGAAAAAGGATTTCTTCGAATTCCGAAATTTTCTGAAAATTTGTTTTCATCCGTCATTCTACATCCGTCTTTGAAAAATACGTCATTCCCTTTGCGTGATGATATTTTTCATACATTATTCAAACTCTCTCAATTCATTTACTCATCCGATGATGATGATATTTACTAAACGGGTCTTCCCGTATCATGAAACTAGAACTATGACATCATTTCAAAAAGAAGGATATATTGCATATGCAAATTTGCCCGATTATAATATCAGATAAGGATCAAAAATTGATCATGTACGGTTCTAAACCTGTTCCGATATCTCCACGTGGTTTGTGTTGTTGCAAAAACCTGGTGTTTAATGAATCGAATGTACTAGAGATGAGTTGGAAATGAACCACTGGGACAGTCTGAGAATGGTTGCTGGCCTTTGGGTTCCTAGATTTGGAAGAGAAAATCTGGTTTCTGGTTTTTTAAGACTTTAGTATAGTTTCATTGCCACTGCCTATCAGCTGGTTTGTTTCATCAAACTTCTGGTTGTTTTTGATGATTTTCGGAATCATTCCTTTAACTCTCTCTCTCTCTCTATTGGCTGTTCAAAATGTTTGCAGAGTAAAATATGTATTTTGAGTACGACAGTTTGGAGAATTGGAAAAACAGGAACGAGACATAATATGAAGGTTTGGGATGAGGTGATTGGTGGTGTTTTGGTGGAACGGTAATCAAAGGATTATACATTAACAGGCTCGTGGTAGATCGAGACCTGGAGTGTGCTACCCCCAGACCCGTGAGGTAATGTAGTGTAATTTTGGGTATATCCTAAAGTGGATAGGCATCACAAAGAGGAAATTCAATAGTAAAATAAGTCAAAAAAACATAGGATTGATCCTAGAACAGTGGGTAACAAAGCAAAAAAAATAAGAGATTTCCTCTTCTTCCAATGGGTAGTCTCTATTCACACTCGTATGATCAAAAATTTTCAGACAAAAACGTGGAGGTAATAGTGGAACGTCAAATAGGGGCAACGAAGTGTGGGTTTGTGACCTGAGACACTTTTTGGGAAGTTGGTCTGGTAGGGTATGCAAAATGGACAATTGATGGTATCAGGAGAAAAAGGATAACAATAGTTTGGGGGATGGGGGGGGGGGATGTCTCATTCATTTTGCCCTCTCAGGAGATCTGGGTAGGGTCAGTTTCAAAAGTAAATATGAAAAAAAGGAATATTAGGTGTGTTTGTAAACCAGAAGTTAAAAAAGAGTATACTGTTGGATTGGAGAAGCGATTTTCAGTGTTTGGGTTGGCAGAGATGCTGAAGGAGCAGTCTAACGGTCAAGAGCCATCAGGTAGCGGTAGTTCTCCTCTTCGGTACGCTCGACTGGCTTCGAGAAGAATCCACGGTGGAAAACTCCTCCGAACAAGTGAGCTCCCTGAAAATAATCTTTATAATTCAGGTTCGGAGTTCTATAAAGTGAGACTTTTGTATTCCACAAGGGAAGCTAAATCAGCGAAATTGTAACAGTACTCACTCTAGATCCTGGTGCCGGTGCTGGCGCGGTGGCTGGAGCAGTGGTAGCTGCTGGAGCCGATGCAGTGCTTGCAGACTGGGCAAGAGTCTGAGCAAAGTTATTCTGTTGCTGTGGCATCTGTTGAGTTGCGACGGACATTCCTTGTTGTTGCTTGTTGTCAAGAGTGGTCATAACCAATCCTCCCTGGTGTTGTGAGGCCGCCTGCGCAAATGGATGAAGGTTCGAGAAGCTCTGCTTGCGGCTGTTGTCGAACAAAGCGGCTTGCCAATCGAATTGCTGAAAATCATCACATTTGGATGGAAAATTCAGAATAAATGGAAACTGGAGATGTAAGATTTTGACTAGACCATTGAAGTCAATTTCAAAAGTATTTTACACGTACTTAGCCCGTTTCATTTCTAAGACGACCGACAAAATTTGGACACCTGCCGCGGCAGTCCCCTAGTGGGGCTGTCGGACAAGCTACTCAAACTGAAAGGTGTCATTGGGAGATGAGGAAAGTTCGCGAACCCTGGATGTCTTGCGAGTTGCTTCAACGACAGCGCCGTTCCAGTCGATGGCCGATGAGGACTTGCGAAGTGGTGGCTGATGAAGACTCTCCTGAGACAGCAGAGCTGCCGAGCTGAAAATATTGACATGTTTACATATAAAATTGACATTTCGGAAAAAAAATAACAGGAAGGAAGGAAGTTTTTTCTTTCGGAAGAAACTAATCTAGTCGCCGACGAAGAGTGAAAATATCAAATGGGATCATTTGCAGACGAAAGGTGGAAGTTGTGGGCGTGGCCTAATCTATCTGACACACAATGGTGGTTTTTTGGCTAGGTCAAAGTACAGATCAAATTAGAATGAATGAATACAAAGGCAAAGAAGGCACGATTGAGACAGGTGAAACATATTATCGTTTCACGTGAATATACAACCCCAATTTTTATCTATAGACAGGTCTACGTTATTATCTATATGCATCTGCGCATAATTTCTCCGATCAACGCGGCCATGACACGACGCATCTGCTCTTTAGTCTTCGTTTTCTCGGGATCTCATTTTTGGCCCTGACCGGATTGACATTTGGGTAGAGAAACTGTTTGTTTCACTCTGTTTCAAATTATGCTTGATAAGATCACACTATTGAAACGATGCAAAAAATTTAGTGGTGATGGTGATAAAAAGTTTTGGTTGGTTGGCGCGGGAAAAAAAATGAGTGAAAAAAGTGAAATAGAAACTGAAGAAGAACTTGAGATTGTCATCATACTGACAGAGTTTGACCTTTAACGATTGGTTCTACAGCATTTTTGAAAGTATAGAAGGCAAACTAGTAGTCTAAAAGAAGGAGAAGAGGAGAGCGTGTCGCGTCTGGCATGCACTACTCCGAAAATCGATTTTAGTTGCAATGTGAAGCGCGCATTCTTGGCATACTGCGAGACCTCCCACACGTCTTTTTTCTCCCCCTCCTTTTCGCCACTTCCCGGAAAAGCGTACGCTTTGGTTAGACTTGGATGTACTTGGGATACTTGGGATACGGAAAGACAACGAATATTACCTGCATGGGAAATGGAGTCCAGACTCGAGTTGATTTGTATCCACAAAGTTCATTTTGAGTTTTTTGAGTGGTGTGAATTGGAAAAGTGCTAGACGCGAATAATAAGTTAGCGGATTAAGACGAAGTGAGATGAATGCGATAAGAACTGTCGTTCGAAGACCGTTTTATAGCGACAAAAGACGCAGTTTTTTAGTTTTTAGGCGGAAAGAAGGAGGGATCGGTGGGTGGAGCTGCCCCGAGGCGCGAGAGAAGACAACGGCGATGGAAGGAGGGTCGAAACACTTTTCGGTACGAAATTTTCTGTCGCAGAGAAAACACAGACACAGAGTTAAAGGTTTTTTCATTGACACTGAGGGTTATCGGTTGGGGAAAACCCTCATTGACATCTGCGATCTCTCGTTTTATCATCATGTTTCGTGAGGTCCACGTGGGATGATTGGCGAAACGGCGGGAAGGAGCGAGAAAGACGAAAAACGAAAGATAATGGGGAGAAGAGACAAGAGAAAAAGATAGCTGCTGGTGGTGTGGTTTCTTTTCTTCGGACGAGGTCGATTTGTGTCCGAGTGTAGCCGACATGATGGGCTCATTTCTCCCGGGTCAAAGAGATATGAGGAAGTTGGAGTGTCATGCTCACGAAATACACTTTAGGAAAAAACGAAAAGAAACTGAAACTTCCTGCAGCTGTGCTAGAGAATGACATGTTTGAACAATGACGAAGGCTCGAAATTTGACACCAATCGGAAAGATTATTTGATCTACATCGAGCTAACTTTCTGTTTTGTGATACCTTATGCAATCTGGCTTCTAGCGCCATTTCATCCTAATCGACACTTAAACTTTGTGCTTCTTTTAAGTATGACATGTAATAAAATAGATAAAAAAGAGTCAGGAAAGGTAGATAAGAGTGGCAAAAGGCACTGAGAGTGCACCCAAAGTTTGGAAAGTTGAGTTGCTTTTATCGAGACAGTTTTTTCCCGCACTCCCAATTTTCTCCCCTCCTCTGCTAATAATGACACCACGTCATATGTACCCACACTTAGCCAATTTCTTAGACCGGATGGAGGAGTCACATGACACCCGTGTTCGTACACCTCCCACACAACACAGATACATACTATAAGCATTTTTGTGTTGGATTCAAATTGGGCGAAATGAAAAATAGAGAAAACCGAATGAATGACTGTATTCATTCGGTGGGTGGTAGCAACATTTCTATTTGCACAGAAGGAAGCCGGATTCGTCTAGCGTCGTATCAGGAATCAGAAACAATGTGTTCAGCGTACGGCCTCGGTGATGTCACCGTTCTCAGTGGGGACTACCGGACTAACTGGTTCCATTGTGACGACACTAATTCTTGACTTCAGAAAAAAGAGGGTACGGAGGAATTCGGTGAGAAAATGTGAAGGAATCTACCACAGAATAATAAGAGAATAATGGGAATCAGTGATGCTAATGGGTTACTTTATAGGGGCCGAACCTCTCTAATCAGTTCCAGAGTCGAGTCTCTTTTGGGTTCTACTAGATAAGGCTTATCATACGTGTATAATAGGGAATGGACCGAAAGTCATCATTATGTGCCAAAACTGAAAAACAAACGCAGGAAAATCTTTGTGAAATCTACATTAATAACAAATTTTGTTTTTCAGCTGTCCCTCTCATTCCAAAAACTCACGTATGCAAACAGAAGTCTAGGCACACCTACACGTGTTCTGTCAGTCTGTACCCAAGAATACAAGAAGAATCAGAAGACGAGAAATGTGGGTGTTCTGGAAGCTAGTTCCCTATGTGTTATGAAAAAAGAGGTATTTCAACATTCGTGACGATGACTAGTTTTTTCTCCGGCTTTTCTCTTTTTTTTTGTAAGGCGGTACATGGGGAGGAAAGACCCCCACGTGGAGACATATGATTCGTGTTAGGCCCTGGTCTGTCTGTCAATGAAAAACTCTATCGTTCGTTGATTTGTTGAAATTTGGCCGTAAATGCAACACATCAACAGATGAGAAGATCAAAACAACAATTAACTGACTTTCACTTTTCAGAATTGACTACGTAGCGCCACATTGGCTCTTAACCTGATAAGAAGAGTCGGTATTTTGTCGGAAAAAAAGAATTTTGGAAATTTCATTTTGTTTTTCCTGGAGACACTTATCACTTTACCATTACGATGCACAAAATTTAGAATCGGATTTTCGGAAGATTATAGGTAACTCAAAAAAAAATTGAGACAAAAAAAAGAAGAAAAAGAAGATTCGAGTTCAAAAGATTAAGAGCACAATTTTTTTCGGCGGGTGGTAGGTAAAAAGCATAACAGTTGGCTCTTTGATAACAGTTGTTAAGTAGGGGAAAAAGTTTTTCAATAGCACCCAGAAAAAAACTCAATTACATCAGACACACTCACGAAAACATGGCCTGACGTGTCATGATGCAATTCTTGGAGGAACAAAAATAAGAATAGTCAAGTGAGAGAGAACGTACTGGGTGCGCTTCTGCTCCTGCTCCTCGTGATACAACCAAATAAGGAACGGAACGGCGGCCGCGTTTTTTTCTCCGGGGAGTCTAGTCCGAAGATAGACTATCTCGGATGTGTTTGAAGTGAAAAAATGAAGGAAAAAGCGCGCAGTATTTGCTAAGAAAGATGTCATTTCTTCCTATTTTAAAAAAGAAAAAGAACTATTGCATTGCGAAAGAGCTCTGGATGCTCTTTTCTTCGCCCTGGTGTTTATGTTTATTTGAACAAATCGGAAAAAAGCCCCTCCTTAATATCCGAACTCCCTTGTGTGTCTTCCTACAAGCTAGTCACAGTGTATCCTGAGTGTATGCTGAACCCAATACTGGACCCACGTGGTGTCATTTCTCTGTCTTCTCTGACAGACTATAACTACCGGGGGTACCTCCCAGCTGGTTCGGGCTGCGTGCGTGCAAATGGAAACATCGCGTGACATTTTGTAGTTGTGACGAAACATCCGGGGCGCAGACTTTCCCCACGTGGCACTGATTTCGTCGTCATATGTTCTAACAAAGATTAGGTGAAAGAATAAGGTGTGAAACATTTTTTTAAAAACCTTATGTGTTGATAATCTAGGAGAAAAAATGGTTTTTGACCAAATCAAACGAAAATTTTGAATTTTGAATGAAATTTCAGAAAACCAGAACTCAAAACAGTGGAACTTCCACAAAAGATCTATTGTTTCCAATAATTTTCATTTTCCTTTTTCTCAACTTCTATACTAACTGATCACTAGGCGAACAAGCGATCAAAGAGAAGCGTGCCCAATTTCCAATTGGTCTCTTATTTTTCTCACTCGCTTATCTCAGCATCATTGTTCAGGAAAACCAATAAACAACATGTTTCGTCGACACCCGTCGACTGCAAGGAAGATGATAAAATTACCTTGTTGACTTCTTCCTAGATGTTTCTTTCACATTCACAACTTCCTGCGCCGAAGGAAATTGTTAAGGCAGAAAATGGATTGGACATTCAAAATTTATTGTCTGCGCGATATTTGGGAATCAGCATCAGACTTCGGTTTCTCTTTTCTCAAGACGGAAATAGTGGGAAAACGAGATCGTTTTATGAGTGGACTGTGTGGTGCACCTAGGTCGTCTCGGTACATCATGAGACTTCTAGTAGACACGATAAAAGATGTACTATGAGTTTGGGGTAGGAGAATAGTACAATGACACAGTACCGATCAACCAGATACTCCGAATTGGTCGTGTCAGCTGGCGTTTCAGCTTTCGGCCATTTTGACTATTTTCAGGAGTCTGGAGCTCGGCTTTCAAGTTTCTTATCATTTAAAAAATCAAAAAGTTTTGTGAATGCAAACGGAGGAATTCGGTGAGAAAATCTAAATCAGTTTCACACCCTCCAATTTTTTCAAAGTGATGAGAAACTAGAAAGTCGAGCTCCAGAGTATTGAAAATGTTCAAAATGACCGGAAATCTACGGAAAATACGTTTTTGTATATCTTATTGAACTGTACTGTATGTTGATGGAAAGCAAGTCAGAAATTGAAAAGATTCCGATTAAAAATATAGGTGAGAAAAACAAGATCGTTAAGAAAGAGAAAAACACGGAGCACATGGAGCACACAAATGATCAAATGAAAGACTTTAAAACTGTTTCCAACTTGGCGATAACTAAAACCAACAAGACTAAACATGCAATCCGTTCGTTTTTCGAAACAAAAAACAACATCAAAACATTGGCTTTCTGGAAGTAAAAACCGGGAAGCTCGGCTCTAACATGAGGAAAAACAAGCCGTCGTCAGCAGCAATTTAGGCCAAACATCAGTTCCAGCACACCCCGTCTCGAATCTCACTTTGTTTACCGCCACCGGTATACTTCATTGTTCTATGTGTTTGGTCCGGTGCTGCCGTTTTTGCATTCCTACTCCTCCCTAACCCCATCAATCTGCATTCCAATGCAGAATATGATCTTGTTCTGCATGGTCTTTCGAACATATGACACAAGATCCATTACCCAGTTGAGAGTGATTTTGATGCAATTTCGTCGACACGCGAGGACATATCAGGAGAGAATTGAGAGGGGTTCTCCCCATAATTTCCGTTGTCGTCGCCGTTTGATTTTTTGTTGTTTTTCACAAGTTTTTGTGTTGCAGATTGATAAGAAGATAAGAGGAGAGAGGGGTGAGCTGGGCGAAAAATGCGAAAAAAGATCAAACACAATATGGCGGTATACTGTAACTTTTGACAGAACAAAAATCACAGAGACGCCGAACGAAGGGAACGGGTGGAATCAGCTGTCCGAGCTGGAAAGGAACGTGCGTCAGTGGAGTAATTTTTCAGGGGAGGCAAAAAAAAACGAGAGGAAACAAAAAAAAGCACGGAGGAAAATGGCAAAGCTACGCGGTCAGCGAAATGAGCAAGCAAAGGAGCAAGTTCAAACCGCCAAACCTCTTGACCTCGCTACGGAAATCTAAGCTCGAGAGGGACTTAGTTGCAGAAGTTTGTTGCAGGGGATGTTTTTGAAGTTTGGTCCGCTATTGCTTGTCTAAACAAGGATCTAGGAAAATTAGCTGAAAATGAAAATTGGATATGGAGGTTTCTGATTTTTTTCCAGTGGAATATTAAGTAGAGAACCTTTGAAATTGATAGATCAGTTTGTTATGATCGGAAGAAGGTTAGTTTTTCAAACAATTATTTTTGAAATAATTGACTTTTTGAAGAAATTTGAATCATGACTTTATTTGGACATTCTCCAAACGTTTGTTATTTCTTAATTTCCAGCAGAAAATTAATTTCCAATTTTTTTTCTTCCAAAATTTACACAACTATCATTTCGTCATTTCCAGAATTATCACCCAAAAAACCATTCTCAAAAAAATTTTAGTCAAAAATAATTGTTTCTAAACTATGCAGAAAATTTGAAATTTGATTGTGTCCATTTCTTCAATTGTTGTCAAAATTAATGGAGCACCACAATCTAGAAGTTTTCAAAACAATTGTGTGACCAAAGTGTGACAGATGTTGATAGAAACACCAAATATCAATCAGTACGAAACAGACCCTGATCTTTGATCTACTGAACTATTCCAGAAGACAATACATACCCATCTCAACCTTAAACACTGATGAACACTACTGTATATTAACAACTTCCGGTGTTTCTCTTAATATTGTCAGCGACAAACATTCGCTATCATTGTATTCGTCTTCCTCATCCTCCACCAACGTCTTCTTCTTTTTTTTCTTCCTCCACGCGGTCTACGATGTTGATTGCAAAGAAAAGGGGTTTCCTGGACAAATCAAACGTCTTCTTCTTTTCACTAATGACCGATCGCACGTCGTCATTGGTTCGAAGAATCAGACCGACGGCGCCGGGTGTGGAGGAGCGGAAGATGATCTTTTTCGAAAATAGAGGAAATTCCTTCTAGAGAGAAGTTTTTGGGCGATTTATCCTTATCACACTTTACTGCATTAGAGGAAAGAAGGGGAAAAGGGCAATTGATAAAAAGTGACCGACGCGGAAAGACTACAAACTGCAAGAATTGACTTCCTGAACTGAAAAAAGGGTTTTTATAGAAATTGAGACGATTGATAATGAGCAATGGATTAGTTGAATAGGATAATCTTTTGCCGGAAAACATGGATAATGGTAACTGATTAGGATTGGTGATTCAACAGAAAACCAAATCCTTCCGGGTCGAAAATTGTGAAAAGAGAGTACTGATGAGTAACTCGAAACATAAGGGATCGAAAGATCATTCGACTTCAAACTAATCTACCGTAAAACCTGTATCAGAAGGGTCCTTTAAATTGAAAATCCCCTCTGATAAAAGAAACCTCTGAGAAGTGCTTGCCTCTTCTATCTTTGTTGTTTGAAATTGAAAATTTCCATACGTTTTTAGTAAAAAATGAGAATAGAAAGGCCCCTGTAATTGAAAGCCACCTCTAATAAAAGGGCCTTCCGGAGGTACCTTGAAATAATAGAAAGGCCGACCCTTCTAATATTGGTTTTGCGGTATTCGCATTCTAATGGGACATATGGTCCTTATCTACTACCGTAACCCCCATGCAGCCTTGGAGCTTTTATAAAAATTTTCACTTTCTTAACTTAACTAAGAACATAAACGCAATAAAAATGCAAAATTAAAATTTGAATTTGAAAATTGGCGGCAACACGTGTTTTTCGTCATCTTTTGTTTCAATTGTTCACTTCATAATGACCAATAAATTTGAATTAGTCTGGAAACGTCGTATCAAAAACCATACTTGTGGAAAAGATGGCCTGACCGCTTTTTGAAAATTTTGAAATTTTAGAGCGAATTATCATTTTTCAGGATGGTTTTTCTTCTTAGTGAATGAAAATCCACATTAGAGGCCGATACTGTCGACAAAAACTGTTTTGAAGTCGTAATTAGAAAAAAGTTTCATCCTTGGCTTAATGAAGTTTGATTTTTTTTGCTAAAAATTCAAGTAAACTGACTTTTTCGGGTGGTTGTATGCATTTGGATTAATATTTGTGCCATTATAAATATTTTGGCACATTAGAAAAATAAAATTTCCGAAAAGTTGTCCTAGGCGGGCCGAGCGGGCCGGGCCAAAAACTTTGAGGCAAGCGGGCCGGCCCGGCCCGGCCCGGCCTTCCACATGAATGTCAAAAACCGGCACATTTCAGAAATCAGTTGATGCGAGCACATTGAAAAGTGCAAAAAGTGAGCTTTTGGGAAACATGTCGAAATTTCGAAATGCAACCCGAGCCGGCGGGAAAAAAAAGAATAATGAAAAAATTGTAGAGTATCTGAATGCACCCAATTTAGTCATCCTTTTCAATAAAGTGCGAGAGCGTAGTTTCCCCCGCCTTCTCTCAAAAAAAAAAGCATTGTTTGAACTCAGTTTTGTTGCAATGTCTGCGCACTATAACTATTTCCTAATCTAGGATGGCTGCGTCACACTCACAAACTTCCGATAAACACATTCAGTGGGGTTTGAGGAACTAGGGGTCTCATATATTTGATAAATGAAGAGACTAACCTGACATTCTTGTCCTGGAACTCGTTCTCGCGACGGAGCGCCTGCAAAGTACGAGATTTGTTTGTTTTTTTATTTCATTTTCTCAGTCTGTTCTTCGAATTTAAACTCTCGATCTTCAGTCGCAATTTGATTGTGACTGAAAATTCAAAAAGATTGAGTTCTGTCTGGAGAACGCAAACACCCGGAACTTTCGCTTTAAAAGGTGTCAACAAGAACGACAAAAACGAATGTCATTAAGTATTTCGTAATTTCTTTTCAGTCATATGATTTATGTATTTCTAGAACAATGACTTCAAAAAAACTCTCAACTTACCTGAAGATTTGGCTGAGAAGACATTGGTGTCTTGAGTCCTTCATGCACGTGCTGCAAGTTGGACATAATCTTGTTGAGTGATGGGTGTGCTGAAAAATGAAATTTTGGGTCTAAAATGGAGCGCTTTATCGAGATTTACATCCAGAATAATCTTGATGTTTCGAAAAGTGATTGGCCATCAAAAACTTGTGAAGTTTCGGATCCATTTTTCAATGTTTTTTTCAGCGATATTCTTCTCAAATTTTACCAAAATTAGCGCACAGAATTTCAGCAGAAAAAAAAGTTCGTAGGAAGACGAAAATCGAGATTAGAGATTCAGATTGATTTAATAGAAATCGGATCGAAATGAAAAAAATCGAAATTCGATCTCTATTGTGAGTTGTATGTTGTTGTTGAAAATCGGTAGGGGACAGAGTGAAAAAGAGCCTCGAGGTTCTGTTTTGACACAAAATAAGGGGCGGAGAGAGAGGGTGGAGAGAACAAAAAAACACAAGGCGGGCCTTGTGCACCACTCTGGGACAATAACAAAAAACTATGGAAAGTGCGCGAGAGGTCATCAACAACTACTATGATGGCAAAAAAAGACATGAGAAAAAAGAAAAGTACCTTCATCCTGGCTGACGAGAAGATGTGGAATGTCCAGATGTGGGTCGCTTTTGCTCATTGTGCGGAGGGACACTTTCTGAATATTTTATTGTTTGAGTCTTTGAGAAAAAGAAAGAGAGGAAAATATATATATGATGTGTGATTCCTGAAAACAAAGAAGAAAGGTACAGAATTACAGATGTTGTGTGTATGGTGGGAAAAAAAACATAATGACGATTAATTGTAGTCAGAAAAACGGTTGCAAAAAGAGAAACTACTAATGTGACTGCTGAGCAAATTTTCCGGAGAAAATAAACATTTGCACGCTTTTCAATTCGCGAAGCTCTTCTTGTTGATGTGAACTTTGAAACTCCCACACATATTAGTCGGATAGAAAAGAGAATCCGAAAAAAGTGCATTTTTAGAGATTACGAGAATTGAGATGTTTTCGAGACATATGGAAAGTTCAGAAGATTTGAAGATTATTCCGTCTTATCTGAGTTTCTATCAAGCAGAATATACTTTGATAAGAGAGATGCAGAGAAAAAGAAAACATCTGCTTAGATAAACATCTGAATATCTAGAGCAGAGGCTGTAAATCATAATTGAGTCTCGCCTAGCGAGATGAGAATCGAATTTCAATCAACTTATGAAGTAATGGTTGATTTGAAATATGACAATATACCGTTTTTGATACCGTTTTTCCTCTGATAGAAGCCCGCTCGAACAAACAAATTGGAGATCAATAATCTCGATTTCTATGAAAGATATAAATGGCCAACCGATGAATTACCTATGATAATAGCACCAATATTTTATCAGTTGACAAATATTTGATATCTTTCAAAGAAATTGAGATAATTGAGCTCAAAGTTGACGGCTCGGGTGTGTTCCTGATAGAGGAAATACGGTATATTATCATTGTCTGAGAAGAAAAGTTGAGAATGGATATTTCATTAAAATTTTTTGAAAGGCGCAAGTTCGAACTACTGTATTCCTTGAGACTATTTTAGTTGTTTTTAATTGTCTGTATATTTCGACAAATTTCGTCAGTTTTCCTATGATTTACATCATTTTTGTAAATTATTCTCAATTCATATTTCAAAAAACGATGAAAAGTGTCAAAAAATTGAAAAAAATACATAGAAAAAAACGCAAAATATGCTCAAAGTATACGGTAGTTTTGCTCTTACGAATTAACACAATTTAACGTGATATCCTCTCCAATCCTGTTACCTTCAGTTTTCTCAGGCAACGATATACTTTTTTTAAATGGCTCAAAACCAAGAAAAAAATTGAAAGAAAAGGAACATCCAAAAGAGTATAATTTTGTGGTAACCGAGCATCAAAGAACCTTAATACGAAGTTTGAAAACTGGTAAATGCTACCTCACGCATTTGAAATTGGAAATTTGAACCGTATAATGTTTCCTCAACTAAAAATGTGTTCGTTCACCTACCTTGTCCTTAGAAATTATTCAAACAACCACATGTAGCACCAACAAAAAGAAATGGTCACATTTTCGTTTTTCTCAGGGGTTTTTATTCTGTTCTGTTCCAAGAAACTGATAGAGGACAAAATGTATGTTTTATAGTCACATTGCGGGCTGGAAATATAAAAACGAACAAAAGAGAAAACGGCCGAAAACACATTCGGCATTGGAAGAAGCCAAACATGAATGTAGTCTTTGAAAAGGAATCAAAAGCATACCGGAGGTTGAATCAGATTATCCGCCGGATGTTCATGATGATCGCCCTGCTGATGATGGTCGTGTTGGTGGAAGAATCCGTCGTGTAGGATTGAGTTCATGGTGATGAGAAGACGAAGTTGAGAAAAGTTGAGAAATCTGAAAAGTTTAACTAGTTTACAAAGCTGAATTAAACTAAAAAAACTTGAAATTTCTAGAAAAATTGCAAGACTGAATCACCCGGCACGAACAAACAGATGTTTCGAAGAAGGACATCCGGGTGGGTACTAGTACGAAAAACAAATGTTGAACACTGTCTGGCAAAACAAGAAAAGGACAAACAAAATTTTTACCGAAATTGAAAGCTGTCTGCCATCTGGTGGACAATACGAATCATAAGATTTTTCGGTAGAACTGGAAACAACAACGATTTCTACAAAAGAGGCAAGAAAAGGATTCCTATTTGAAACTTTTTGGGAAGTTGAAATTGTTTAATTATGTTTATTCAGCCTAACTTCTCAGTAAGTTCTATCCCAAAAAAATGTAGAAAAATGAGCAGAGAACTCTTCAAGACAAACTGGTGGCCGAAAACAAAGAAAAGGGAAATGGGTATCTCATCTATTTTTGTGGTCCTGATGATGGGGTAGGACAGAAAACAAAGCGAATGTCAAAATAAAAGTCAGTAAAGAATCGAGAAAAACAAGAAATATATAAGAGTTGATTGGAAAAATAGATCGTGAAATAGGAATACAAAACATGGGAAAATTAGTTTTTGATTCGAACAGGAAATTTTAAAACTTTGTGAACCCATATTTCGATGACAATTTCAGAATTGACAATAGGTTATCTATCATTTCTCAAAGTTTTCAAATTCGCTTGCCAGTTTCAGCCGAGTTATAGCTGTTTCAGTAGCTGTTTCAGAATCCTGTTTTCACTGCAAAAGCTCAACTTCCAAAGACGATTTTCTCAACTTCTCGAACATTTTTGAACATGAAATTTGCTGTACTAAGAATAAAATAGAGTTTAATATTTCATACACTTCCTCAAAATTTTTGTTTTCTTAAATTATGAATTCTTATGAACTCCCAAAGCTGAAAAAATTCTAAAAACAAATGAAAAATGCACTAAAATGTCTAACATTTCACTGAATTCTAATTATAACACAACACACTCATGTTCTGAAAATCAGAGAAATTTGGAAATAGTCTTCGAAAATCGCTTTGTTTGCACTGAAACTCGTATAAGCTGAAACTGGAGACTGGATTTTAAAATTTTTCAAAGTTTTCTGGATAGGGTTATTTTTTACATATTCTGAAAATTTAGTAAAAATTTTGGTTCACTTGGAAACGGTTCTCTTGGAATAGATATAAATGTTTTGAGTGATGTAACTTTAAATGGGTAAATTTAGAATAATGAAAATTTAAGATAAATACAGATCTTCAAAAAAAACCTGCTGGCCTGAATATTTTGGAAAAAATTTAAAACCTTATTTTTGAGACTTTAGGATTAGTATTGGTCAGTAAGACATCAAAAAGTGGTTTTTGAGGTATGTGTTAAACTTAGAAAGGAAACTGAAAAAAAAATCCGTGAAACCGAAAACAGTTCTTAAAAATTGTTGTCTATTGAAGTCCGTCCTTTTTCTACCACCTTCACCTTATATTGCCAATAATCGGAATCTTATGATCCAAAAAAACGAAACATCTGAAAACATAAACAGTGATCAGAATGTTTCATTTAAAAAATGAAATCATCTGAATTTGTCGAATAGGTTCTTCTGGAAACTTCCATTCAGAGTCTTCATCAGACATCAACAAAACTCTCAGGTATCACCTCAAAAGAAAAAATTCAATTCGTGATGAACGAAAAAATAAATATGAATAAAAAGTAATTTTGTCTATTTTTCTGTCTTATCTTCGACTAGTGTTGTGTCTCGGTCAAAAAGCCGATAGAAAAGAAACAACTGACAAGGAGAGACGTGTTTTTAAAATTTGGTGGTTTGAACTTTGAAGGGAATTAGTTCAACGGATCGGGCAAAGTTTGAAATGGTACAAAGTCTTTTTTTCAAAATTTCAAATGTAACTGTACTATTTTTCCTTTTATACGTATCAAAACGTCACTCTGCACTTTTCTAATCAACTGAAATTTGAATGTGTCTACTCCAATTTTCATTGTTCTTAAATTTGATCATCGATCACATGAAAATAGCAACATCGAGACAAAGGTGGCATTTTTCTCCTAGGTTCAAATTGTCAATAAAAAGGACACGAACGTTTTGAGTTTCAAAATAAAATTTAGAAAATTATTGGGAACAAAGAATAAAAATTGTTAGGATAGGAACGCAGATCACTGATGTAATGGAGGAACACACAAACTGAGGAAATGAAAGCGATCTATCTTGTTCCTTCCTCTCACTCGCTCCTCCCTATACCATGCTGTAATCACATGTAGACGAGTGTTGTGTTTAATGAAGACGAAGAATAAGATTGCCTTGGTGTGACGTAGTGAAACTGTGGCCCCCATGAAAGTGGGAGTTGTTTTATTGATGCTCATATACTAGCTAAAGTTTCTAGACGTTTTTGCCCAGGAAGAGAGAGAATGACTACTCAAGTGATTGAGCGGGAGAAGATCTCTGCTGTTGTTTTTATGATACCGATCATTGTGGGCTACGTTTTAGTCGTATCGGTTGGTGGACTTGTTTTTAGATACCTTGGATCAAATATTATCAACTCAGGAAGTAGGATGTTTGTTTATAGTTGTACTGTATTAAAAATAGTTTTTATTTTTTAACAGTTTTCATTCTTGAGAATGAATTTCAGGATTTCAATAAATTTTTTTGGATTCCCTGAAAAAAAGTTAACGAAGCAATCATTTTTCAAAAATCATTATGCACTGACATACAAACGTAGCCCTGAAAAAAATATTTGAATAATTTGAGCTGTTCTGAAAAGTGGAGATCAGACTGAACAAAGATAGAAATCAACATTTGTATTTGATAATTTTTTTTCTAAAATTCATTTTGATATGTGGCGATTGGAAAGTAAAAAACCAAATACGCCAAAATTGTGCCCAAATTTTCTCTGAAGTGAGAGTTGCCAACTTGAAACGGCTTATCTCGTTTTACCGAAATTTTCACAAAATTGAAGAAATACTTCTGTAATCAGGATAAGGACCATGGAGAAAAAGAGACCATGGAGAAGAAGAGACGGAGGATGAGAAGCTGGACCAGGAAGCAGTATAAAAGAAATGAAATAAGAACTAAATTCATCCTTTTCACTGGATTAACGGTTATACCACATTGTCCCTGAATAAATACATATTACGAGTTCTAGAATACAAGAATAAACTTATAATTATTTCTATTTTTGTTAGCCACCGATGTAATGTTAGTGAACCAGTTTATTTTTCGATCTCAATTTAAAATGTTGTTTTAAAAATAGCATAATCAACGTTCCGTGACCACATTGCTCTTTAGAATCTACAGATTGATGGCACAAATATTATCATAGAACAACCACTACTGGAATAAAATCACGTGAAGCAAACAGTTCTCGAATGGAATTAGCGACAATACGACTGTAACCGAACAGGTTTTTAAATCGTTGTTAATTGATCAGAGAACGTTCTGAATACACTCAACTTGCTGGAAGTTTCTGGGATAAAGTGAATTATTCGAGGACACAGAGGGCAGCCGACACATGCGCTCTGAAGAGTATTACTAGCATCGAGAAGTAATATCACACTTCAATCGCGTCACCTGTCGAATGAAACTTATTCTGTGAGTTCAAATCAAGTTATCGGTGGATGTTGATTCGGGGATTTTTGAAAGATTTTCAAAAGAAATCAATTATTTCGAAAAAAAAATTGGATATTAAAAATTGTTGCTTCTTAAATAATTTTAGTTGTTGAAAACATTATAGTCCTTAAAAATATAGTCTTTGAAAGACGTCACATTTTCTGGATGGTTTCGAATATATTTTCCATTCAATTGACTTATTAATTTTTTGTTTGCTTCGAAATTAAAGATCAGCAATTCAATAAACAGAAACTTCAGTTCAGCAAATAATTTCAGAAAAATCATTCCGGCGAATTTCCAGCGAATCGACAACATCTATTTTTATTATTCCTGGTATCGACGTAGAAGAAAAAACGCGCCTCCTATTTTTTTTTCACATCTACTGCAGCAGCAATCGTGTTCATCAAAATATTCATCGTTATGTTCAACTTGTGATTCATCTTCGACAATGGAGCTGTCATCACAAGTACTACCAAAAAGAAGAAGAGGAAGATTCTTCTAGCGAATCAGATCACTTGAGCACTCATTCGAAAAATTCAAATTCTGGTATAGTGAACTCAAAGTCTCTCCTGATCTTTTCAGAGAAAATTGCAGATAACCCACAAGAAATACCTTCTTTCTTACACCAACCGTTCCAAAGCCGCAATTTTCTGTCAGCTCGTTTCATCCTTAACCCCATCAACGAAAGTTTTGTGAAGTAATTTACTCTTCAAAACACAAAGAATGACGCACGTAGTACTTCTAGGACACAAGAAAAAATCTGATTATCGGTCTTGAAAACGTTCTTCAGATTTGGAAATCGTGTGAGTTCGAATGAGGAAGAAAAAGTGCAATGTGCAAATCGAGTGGCACGACTTCACAGTGACAAAGAAAATCTGTATTTTTCTTGTATATTGTGGCCCTTGTATTAAATTCAGTTCTGAGAAAAAAAAACTAATAGAGCGATTCCGCATAAAACTTGTGAGATGATTATTTTCTTAAAAACCATTCTGGTACCTGAAAATTAAAGATTTTCAGAATACCTAACGAAGCCAGCTCTCAACTTCTTTTCATTTATCGAAAACAATTTTCAACTGTGTTTTCGTTTCATTGTATTTTTCAAAATTGTCATTTTTAAAGTTAGCTTTAAGCTGTTGGCGAAGATCCACTCAAAAGGACATTTAGATTATTGACACACACTCGTAGCTCTTTTTCAGTTTTTTTTCTGCTTCCACCATAAAAGTACTTGGACCTCGACCACATTTTCTCATTTCCGTCTGCGCTAAATATCCTTTCTGTGTTTTTTTCTATGTCAACAACCTCTCCACTTCTATGTGTATACCCTCGTTCATTCAAATGATAGTTTTTTTTTCTCTATTGCCTTCTTTTCTGACTCCAAACTATCTTTCAATCATTTGTTCTTATTGTGGGGATGTTGTCTCTCTGACAAATTAATGAATAACTCATGAATGTCAGCGGTTATTATAACAGAACATTATCGGAAGGTGGTGGTGGTGGCTCCTCCGTATGCGCCTCTTCTTCCAGTACATGCCCTCTCGCCAATTTAGTTGGAGCCCTCCCACCGGACTCCGCCTCCCAAACGGGGAGGGCTCGATGCTCGACCACCTCCTCCCATCAAGGCTCATCTATTCTTTAGCATTCAATGCCTTTCACTGAGACAAACATTTTTGAAACATTCATCAGTGTTTCGACTGTTTTCTTGTTTTTCCTTATTCTTCATTTCCAAAAATTTTCTTCACTCCCCAGTATTCTCAAATACCCTCATTTCCATATTCTACATTTTTTCTCTTTTTTAGCGAAACCTCGGCTCTTTGTTCTCCTCCTTCCTTCCTTTGCCTTCATCAGATAAGGTTTTTCATTAGAATTTCCCGCCTCTTTTCCTATTTTCTAATTCCTAATACCTAAAAGTAATCAAATTCACACTTTCTTACTTTACGGCAATCGCTATTTTCCATCAGGAATTGAATTTATATTCTTGCTTTGTAGTTCTTATACATATTCGCGACGACATTCGAAGCCATTTCACTAATCTCCTCTGAACCTATAGATTTAGCTCAATGAGCCAGAAAAGAAATCTTGATTTCCTTGAAATTTCCCTATTTACCGCTTACACGGTGGATAGAATCTTCTAATTCCAATTTTTCTCCTGTTTTTAGGTTTTTCTGTCAGAGTGAGGGGTCCATAGAGTGGTTCTTGAAAATTCTCATTAGACAAGGAAAACCTCGCGATGTGTTTTTTTTCGCTTGATTTGAGTTTTTCTTCGAAATTTCTTCTGATCTTTAGAAAATCTTGAGATGTCTCAAAGTGTTAAGACGAACGTCCGCTCTTCGTCAATTATCGACACCCATATAAGAAGTCGTCGCACACACCCATATACCCATTTCCAAATACAATTATAACGGTCCCGTAAGAAAAAGAAATTGGCCTAAGGAACGATTCTGGGCATCTTAAGAGCGAGGGGGACATCTGCGCATTATTCAACCTTTTCTACACCATTTTCTCTCTATAATCATAATTGCCGCGTGTTACCTGGACCGTGCAGATTAAGAGGATGTTGTTTTTTTTCTGAGAGTCTAAAAGAAAATGCTTTACTCTATAACGAAATTGTTCAAAGTCACCACAACTCGTGTAATTGATACGTGTTGTCATTCCGTTCAGAGAAGTCGCGGTGTTCCCCCATCTCCCGCTTCTTCTTGCCTCCCGTAATCCGATATGTCCAGTGCTCCCTCCAACGGGGTCCCGTCGTCGTGTAGTTACCAAGTGCAGATTAGTGTTGCCGACACCTCAAAAGCAATTCCACTCAACTCTCAGTTTTCTTCGTCCAACTCTTTCTCTCTTTTTTAAAAATTTTCTTTGTTTTCCAGATATCTTCGAATACGATGAAAATAAGTGTGCTATAATAACCACCACCACTCCCGGAAACAACAGATGCGTGTCGTTTTCCAAACCTTTCCTTTATTTCTTTTTCTATTACTGCTACAATTAACCCGCCCACTCCCACTCATACCGTCACTTATAAATCCTAAGAATCCACATGCAAACTCGCAAGCCTATGTTGAGACATCAAACGTCACTAGCCAGTTTACAATTTTCGCATCGAATATCTCGAGTTGTCGGTTCAAAACAGCTGTGATACCTTGCGAATGTTTTCTTCAAGTTTCCAATGACTATCGGTTAGAGGAAAATGGGAGAATGGTAGTGAAAAACCAAAAATATTTATTTTAAAATATGTGAAAATTTTCAGCTTTCTAGTTTTGCTGTTTCCGCGCCAGACATCAAAATTTTCACGCCAAGCACGCACGAAATGCTCAACGAACTGACAGTTCACATTATCCCGAAACTATGTCGAGAAGACGTTTCGGATATTCAACTGGAATATCGTTCCTTTCAGGTGAGTGCATTTCTCCATCTGTCATTTCAATTCATGGGGATCCATTGCAGGTGTTTCCCGGTGAAGAAGAATCCAGTTGGAAGACTGTTAGCGCCGTGGCAAAAACGTTGAAGGACACCAAGACGAGTCTCATTTTCGGTTGCAAGCATTTCTCGGACCCCGGCTATTATCGCGTGTCCATTCGACTTTCACTAGTCAATTATACGGTGCAGGTAGGGGGATATCTTCTTGTTTTTTATTTGTTCACGCAACGCTTGATTGATGGATGAGCCTTGTGTTGTTTTTATTTTTAATTTCAATTCGCAGAAAATTCAAAATAAGACTTGGAATATGAGAATATTTTATGTCATCCGTATCCGTCGTACAGAAAGATGATTCCATATTCTATTGTTCTACACAGCGATCATGTGTAGGCGACAACAAGAAAAAATCTTGCTCCTTGTTGATTATATGGTACTTCCGCACAGCATTTTCTACACATGTCCACATCCCACCACAGCTCATTTCCTCTGCTGCCCCTCCAATAAATACAACAAGGGCCTGGGTCACAGACAAAAAAAAAAGAGAAAAGCCTAAATTTTCATCACCTTTAATGGGACCCAAATTGATAGAAGCTTACAATGGAATTCCCTCGAGATAGAGTTCGAGAAGCGTGCACATACCCCCTGGTACTGGTCAGCACGTTGGTTTTTGCCTAATGAAAAAAGTTTTTGCGTGTTATCCTCTCCCACTTCCCGCCATTTTTTCATTCTCTAGATTGAAAAAGGACCTGGACAGCGGACACTTCTGTCACCATGACCCCAAAACTCGTTAGAAGAAAGAAATGAGCAATAATAAATATCAAGTTTTATGAGGCTAACGAAAGGGAAAAGCAAAGGGAACGCATATCTCCAGAACCTCATTCTAAAATGAAATATGGACTTTTTAGGCCGACAAATGGATTGTGGTGAATCAAACAACTCAAAATGCTCTTCGACTTCGGGAAGACAGCATTTTTCCACACTGCAGTTCTGATTATAAAATTGGCTGGGATCTTTCTGAATGCTCAATGGACCATTTACACTACCGGCTTCGAATTCTAGCAGTTCCCGAAGGAGCAAAAAATCACGACGATGGAGCAGTTTATATCGGTATGCTAGTGTCTGTGTGACTAGTAATTGGTTTCGTTTTCAATGATTGAAAATGTTCCGGTTCAATTAAAGTGGTCCCTTGTGCGCCGTAACTCTTAGGGCAATTCTTATTGTTACGCAGTCGGGGAGAGAGGGAATGAGTGACCGATTGCAACACGTCATTTCCTGTGAAATGCGTAAGATTTAACAGATGAGATGCTCATCTGTGAGAATTTGTGTGTGAAGGCAGAACGTTATTAATTAGAAATTTGTGGATAGAAGTTGAAAGAGTCTCTAGAATGGGGAAGCCACTGAGGGAAATTTTGGGTTTCGGGACATTTTAGCATCGTACAGGCCGATGGATACATTTCAGACTACAAAAAACCTTAGAAAAAAAAACCTTCAAAACATTTTTAATTATATTTTGCAATTTTTTAAATTTCAGAATTTGTTCATAATTATTGAAAACCCTAAATTTCTTATTCTAGTTTGAAACCTAATCATTCGATTGTTCTATCACGGTAGCGAAATGCCCGGAGCCAAAACTTGTATCTAATGGTTTTTAGAAGCTTTATTTTTCAATTCACTGGATTTTCAACTTTTAAAAATGTTCTAATTTTTCAGAAGAAATCGCAATTGCTCCTGAAATGAACTCTCTCAAAATCAGCTGCTCCCAATTTGACATCATCCATGAGAAGTACTGTTTTGAGCTGGTATCTGTGAATCGGAACACATCAGTATCCCACACGTGGCACAGTGTATGCGTCAGCACGGAACCAGGTACTTGTTTTGCTTTTTTTGTTTCATATCTCATTTCCCACGGGATTTTTGTTTCTTGAGCTGGTAAGGGTAGGCAAGAAACAACAATAATTTGCATATTACGCATGTAAACGAGGGCATGGACGCATATGGACGGAGATTGAGAAAGAAACTGAAGGGGTAAGGGAGAGCAGGTGACAATAGGAGTCCACGAAAACGATACTGAATAACTTCCGGTATCTTCCGGTTTTTTCGACTTATATTGAACGAGAAAGAGAGATATTATTGACTTGGTTTTGATTAATAATAGAGCGGAAAATATATATTAATTGTGCTTCCTCTCGACGTTTGAATCTAACGCATTGCGCTTAACTTGATTTGCGGCTTTCGTTCTCTCTTTGCCAAAATTCAATTATTATTTTCTTTTCCCCTACCACTTCTGAATGAAACACACGAACACAGTGGGACATAAAAAGTGCAGATGTTTTTTGGACCCCTTGCAGACTAAAGAATACAATACAACAGAATGCGCGAGCATATGCAAATGCTGCTCCTAATTACGACGAGACAGCTTGCACCTCTACCTGTCCAGCTATTGTATGACACGCGTGGGAAGAGCAGATGTCTACCGATGCGCTTTTCAGAGGGTCAAGGGGACACTTGGAGATTCATCCCACAAATGCAACAATGTCAACTAGGTACTTCATTACTGAACAAACATCATCTGGTGTTGATGATGAGGCTGCATGTGCACTGTAATTATTCCATCAAAAAGATGTGAAATTGGCGGAATAAAAAATGATGAGAGAGGTTTCTCAAGAAGACACAATTATCTTTAATGCATGCACACTCATCAATTTTAGTTGTTTGGCTTTGCACTTGAGTACAATATGGTCCATGTTTTGATCCTAAACCGCGCCCAAAACTTGACCTTTGTCAAGCTTTTAGTCGGGAAGAGCAGAATGAATTAATAATGTGACAAGTGAATGGGAACAATACTTAGAGATTCAGCTAATAGGTGCGCCATGTCATATGTTTCTATGCAAAGTGTGTTCCGAGGGACTAGTAACTCACTTTTAGATTATATCAGTTTGTAATGTTTCAAAACGGAGCGGAAGAAGGGGAAGAGAGAATGTCACTTCCCCTCTCTGAATTCGTTCCGTCATTATTGTAAAGTGTCTCAATCCCTTCAAAGCTGTCAAGTGTGCTAATTCACTCTTCCATACTTCAAGTGGATTGTTTTGCATAGCAATAGTCTCATCATAACTTTTCTTCGAGAAAATTTCAATTTTCTGGGGACCACTAAAGCAATTATAAAACTAAAAATGAAAAGTAAGGAAAAATGTAAAACAAAACAAAACAAAACAATCTACATAAAATAACAAAAACCAAAAGTTTCAAATTGCAGTCGAAAGAAAAGTGGGTGGATGGTCGGCATGGAGCGAGTGGAGTGCGTGCTCCGAAACTTGTGGACTGGGGAGACAACGAAGAGTACGATTCTGTAATGAGCCAGTACCAAAAAGATCCAAGTACTGTGATGGACCACTTATTGAAACGCAGGAATGTATGATGACTAAGTGTCCAGAAGCTATGATGCCTCAGAGCTTATCTACAAATTGTTCTTGTGGATGTCCACTTTCAATTGAAGCCAGCTCATTTTTCGCGTCATCCAGGTATGGGAATCATTCTCTTGAAGTCTAGAAATTGAAAACTTTCAGACATAGCAGAATGTGTGAAGGCAATCAAACTTGGACGCTACCTAAACTGGACGGTATTAAAATAGCAGACTTTACAATCAAGAAGCAAGGAGAAGCAAAAGGGAAACTGTTCTTCTTTTTGCGAGCTCCATATCAGGTAAGCCTCATATCAAGGAAATCGTTTTCAATCAGAATTATGTTTCAGGAGCTAGTCTGGTCATCTGATTCTCATCAGGAGTATGAATTTTCTCTTCCAATGTCCACCCCGATTTTTGTGGTTTTGTGGAGCAAATCTAACGATACTTCTAGAATCACTCAAATTGACGACGGGTTCACTGTATCATACTCAATTAGAGGTATGAAGTTCCGACTACTACTAGTTCAAAAAATTTCGTAATCCATCATTTTTCCCAACATTTGAATGCTCTTTTCCTCTTGAATATTCTGACAGGAGGTCTCATTCCAAAAGTCAAAGGATTGTAGTTACATATGAATATGTGCTGACAAGTTAGCTCGTCACTCTTTGGACCTATTAAATGGCGCGAGACTTAGACAAAACCTTCTCTTCTTCATTTTCTTTTCCTTTTGGCTCTCGAAAAATGTTGGGCGTATTGTGGTGGTGATGGTGGTAGCAATTGAGACAACAAGAATGACATGTGTAGAGAAGGTTTTGACAAGAATGAAATTGGAAGGATGAAGAAAGAAAAGGGAGAATAGAAAAAGATGGGACGGGGAGCCCCAAAGTCTCATGTTCTAATTAAAATGCAACACATTCACAACTTGAAGAATGGAAGGAAAAGAAAAACGAAAAAAAAATTTGGATGACCGAGAAAAGAACATGCGAAAAATTGAAAATGGGGACTAGAATATTTTGAATATTTCAATTAACATTTTTAGATGCAGATTCTTCCCCGACAGTTGCCAAAATTAATTCTTGCCAACCATTCTGTCCAGAAACTATGGCAATTGCAATTATGGGTGAGTCACCTCAATTTTTTTCAATATCCCTCTCTTATTTTCCAGCAATTATCTTCATCGCTATCATATTTATACCACCTTTGGTCTGTGCTGCGGTAACAGCTTCTTTGAGGAGGAATAGCTCTCCAGAGGTCCCGTTAATGGATAACAAGTGAGAAATTAACCACTAAAAAATGAAATTAAAATTCATTTCTTAGGTATGACTCCGAGATGATTCGTAGTGGTAACACAGAGAGTACACATGTTAGCTCTAGAAATTACGTAGCTAAACGAAGCATTGGTATACAATTGAGCGTTCAGAGCACTCCGAGGTGAGAGGATTGAATTTGAGATCATGAATATTAGTTAAAATATTGCAGGACTGGTCGCGCGTGTCTCTCTTATGAATCTCCAGTTCCGCCACGTGGACAATCTTCACTTAGTGAATGTGATGAACTTGAATATGACTATTATGATGGTACAACTTTTCCGGGCAGTTTTTTGGCACCAGTGCAAGATGTAATGTATTCACAAATTGATATTGATCAGGTATGTCGTAAGAAAATAAAGGAAACAAATAACAGAATATGAAGGCGGGGACTGTAGCAATCGTTTAGTAAACCGGTACTTCGTACTTTAGGCGTTTACCGGTCAAACCTTCATAATAATTACAAATTTTGATTGTTTTCCAATGACTAGTGAAACACCGATGTCTCCTGAACAAAAGTAGAGTTTCATTTTTGCAGTTGACCACTTATTCGTGTATATTGTTCTAAATGATATATATGTCATGAAACCGACAAAGGGCAAAACTTTTCAGAATTGATCTTGCTTTCAGATTCTTGGCACTTTCAAGCTGTTTATCTCGTTAGGTTGAGTTTTTACAGAAAAGTTGTAAACTGCAAAATTGAAGCTTTATTTTTGTTTAGTGAATCTACTCAGGACTACTCAGAACACTATTAAAAACACTCGTTACGGATGCAGCCAAAGACTTAACTGACTTCTTACACTTTCAAATTTCTGCATTTTCAGATAATCGGACATTCGGAACTCTTCATCAACAATGTGGAAAAAGCAGATGTTCACACTCAAATCTAACCCTTCACTCAAAATCATCCTTTCTCTCATCATTATCAAAATCATCCTTTCTCTCACCGACGAGCGCAGAAATGATTCATGTGCCTTTAATCAGTTCAAAACTTTAACCCTATTTTCACCTTCACCTCCTTATCTTGTTCTTTAAAATTGCGGGAAACAAATTCTTGAAACCAAACATTGTTCAACTTTTGGCGATAGCTCCATAGTTACCTCTCTTCATACCAGTTATTTTTGAGCTTTATTCCTCAGAGTTAGTCTCATTTTTCATGTTTGTCCAGGTGTCCTTTTTTCGAAATGTTTTATTTTATTCTATTGAAAGTTTTTTTATAAATCGAGTAATTTATTGTTAAACTCTACACAAAACAGGACGAAATGTGTATGTTGGAAGTAAAGAATTTAGTACGAAGAGCAAATATGAGTTTGATCAAATAATCATACCAGCTTGATGTACTCTTCAATTTTTTTTTCATGGTAGAAAAAAAACAGAAGTTGGTTTTTTGAATTTAAACAGCCGTTCTTTGAAATCAATAATTTTTTTTTCCAAATTGAGTCATGAACAATAAAATGATTCACCGGATACAATATCAAACCACAGAATATTTTTGGCCGTTCTCGGCCATTCTGTGAAGACGGTAAATATTTTTATCTGTGCCACAGTTCAAAACATTTCAGCTATTTTTGAATTTTATACTTGTTCTTGACCGGTCAACGTAAGCTCTCTTATCAGCTTTTTCTAGTTTCTGTGGTTGTTTGGTTTCTTTGAGGTCAAGATGTCCTATAAATAAACACATTTTTCTCTCATATTGGGTTGTTCCATTAATGTCTCCCAGAATCTCTTTCAGAATTTTTAAAGGCAATTGAACTTTTATTTGAAAATTTATGTTTTTGAAGTTTTGCCATATACGGGTTTTATATGCAAATATTAAACAGCTGCTTGCCTCCGAATATATATTTTTTTCAAAATTCCGCCTACTTCTTTTGTACTCCATCAGTTATTGTTGTATTGTTGAGCGTATAAAACTTGTTTTGAATTCCATTTTTTCAGACATGCCACGATTGTCGGATTTTTTGTATACTGTAATCATCACATTTTTCTGTATGACTCTTATATCAGGAGCTCCACTATATTCCTCACCGCCACCTCATCGAATGATAAATCAGATTAGTCAATGTAAGTCGATTTTGATTTTTCAAAGAAGATTTTCGAAATTATAGCTTGGACTGACGAAAGGCTTTGTGTTTTGAAAATGGGATCATCTTGCCCGAGTGGATTTACGGAAAGTCAGATTCGATTGTCTGTTCAGACTGATGTCAATCCAAGGGTAGGATTGTGTTTTGCTTGTTTTGTTGGGAATAGAAAATGAAGAAAAAGATTAGAAGAGATTATCCTAAAAGGTTGATTTTTATTTTGGACAATAACCTGAAAAATGACATGTGGAAAGATAATCAACCTTCCATCTATCCACGTAGTCATTTCCCGGAAAATAACTTTACAATATCAATAAAACGTAACCTATAAACTATGATTGATAACAGTTTTCATAGTTTTGGAGCCACAGATGTCATTGAAACAATGCTCGGCATTTGTGAACTCTTATCAACGACCCCAGTTCTATTTCAGGATACAAATCGAGATGGCGAGCAGCTGATCAAAATTGGTCAAGGTGGTGAAACATCGCTGTCGAGAAATATTTATGATGCTTTGTATACTTTGACAATTACGACTTGTTGTAAATAGAAACACCACCAATGTCTGTACATTTTCGCATAATTTTATTGAAGTATTTTGGTTCCAAGAACGAGTTAAAATAAATATTAAAGATCCTTATTGCAAAAAATAACACGTGGCTGGTCATTATCGTTACATAAGCGGTTGGGGATAATAATCAATATTCAAACATAGTTTGTTTGAGCTTGTCTAACCTCAAACTTGTGAATGTCTGTGAAATAACGGTAGCATCCACAAACAGCTCGAAGTGCCCAAATATGGATGCCAAGTTGGAATGAGAGTCCCACCAACGCAGTTAGAGCAGTTTTGGCTGTAAATCATCAAGTCCAAAAATTTTTTGAATATAAACTTACTGTATTCTGATTGCGATAGAGTGGTGTCTACAAAAAATTGAAGAATCAGTGTTGTGTTACACGCCACCGATATCAAAATAATTACAATGAGCACAGCGACACCAAACGTGATGGATATCTGTAAATAAATGTCTATATTTAGTAATCCAGTGGTCTCTGAGGTTTTCAAGATCGAGAGCTATTTACCTGCAAAGCAATAAACGCAAACAACAAGTGAGCTTTCTGTTGTAGAATACCAACAAACATGTAGAGAAGGGCGATGATGACAATGATCATGGGGATAGCGTATAATTTCATATTGGGGCGACGTTGCTGGAAAAATTAGATTGGAAGTGGTAAAAAATAAAACGTTTTTTCTCGAGTTTTCGTCCCGAAATGGCGGAAAAAATTCCAAACGTTTTGCTGAAAATTTGTTTTTGGATCGTTGGGATATGAAAGCGTGGTTCTCTCAAACTGTCCCAGAAAATCACATCATCATTAGAAATTTTGGGTTTCTAAAATTTTAAAACATTCAAAAATAAAGGTTACCTCTTGTGACGTGAAAACACAGTACACCAAAGTTAGACAAACTCCGAGTAAAGCAAAGAAACCAATGGAACAGGTGGCAATCTGAAAATGGGAAAGTATTTCGGAGTTAATTTATTTTAATAATGAACCCTAACAAGCCACAGTTGAAATCGATCAGCATTTAAATGAACTCGTGATTTGTTTCGACAAAAGGATATCACCATCTAGCAACTGGTATTTGAAAGTTTCACAAAATTTCGAATGAGATATAGAGAAGAACTATCAAAAATTACCTGCTAATTTTTGGTTTGAATTATTTTTCTTGACCTAATGGCAATAATTTTCGCGGTCGAAAATTCATTTAGAGGCTATAAATTTTTCTCTATACGTGCCCTTTGAGCTCAATTATATCGGTTACTGGGAGAACAACAATGATCCAAAAACTTTCAAAATGTTGAAGATGTTATGAAAATCATTTTTACACGATACCAATTAACGATATCTCTTAAAGGAACAGTAAAATTCAGCTGGAAGGGAAGGTCCAAAGCCTCCTGGAGGAAGTGATATATTAGAATCAACCAAAATTTTCTCAAGTGTAGTCAACGTCTTTTCTATCGAAATTAAAACTTGCGAATAGCGAAATACATTTTTTTTTTCATGAAATTTTAATACATTTTGAAAAAAACTTAAAGAAATAAACAATAGAAAAACAAGAATTACGTTTAAACTTAATCCATTTATTTCCTAAACCGATGAACTTGATTTATGAGGAAAACTCAATTGATATTGATATCAATTACAAGTTAATTGAAGAATTATTTAATTTGATAAATCGGCGACTTACCTTAACATGCATAAATCCAAAACAAGTCTGGTAGGTGTCATGGTGATGATTGAATATCCGAATGCTCTGCGTACTCTTCTGACTTTTCAACGAGCGCATACTTTTCTGGCTTCGTACTGATCGTAAACTCTTCATTGAGTTGTGATGGGAGAGAACTTTCGGACTGCGAGGACTTTTTGGGCTATCCATCTGAAACCACAAAAACAAAAGATTTGGGATCGAGATTCGAGAAAAAAAGAAGAATGCTTCTTTGTGTCTTATTTGGAGGGTGGATGTGCGTGGAAGGGCACAAGACGTTAATAAAAAATGAGAAGATAGCGGGGAGTCGGAAAGTTTAGAAGTGATTTAGAAGGAGAGTTGCTCGATTAGCATGAATGAGTAATGGAAAACGCTAATTTATGTTCGACCACTTTGTATGCATGTCATGTGGCAAAAAGTCAGAGAGCTGAGAAAAGAGAAAAAAGGAACATGCCAAAGAATGACAATGAAGAGTGAGGAGGTATTTTTTGGTGGAGAGAGGAATGATAGAAATCAATCAAGATTCATCTCGCGCTTCTTCTTGCTTTCTCCCTTTCGGAAGGATTAGGAGATTAGCGACTCGGCACGTAACATGTCCACTCATCCTCGTTTTTGGGCTGACACTGCTTTTCGGACATTCCGGAGCTGACGTAAAAAACAAATGTATCGAAAATAAATTAATGTCACAAATCTTTAAAACACCTTTTTCTTTCGAAAGTGTTTCGCTCTTTTCATTTTTCTCTTCTTGAACTCTGATGAAAAAGAGAAACAAGAAAAAAAGGATTACAAACGCTCCCTCTAATCTTTCCCAAATCTGAAATGCCAAGCGGCTCTCGAGAAGTGAGCAACACGAGAAAAGTATTTGGACGACAACGGGGAGGGCCTGCAACACCGCAGAAAAAAGATATCGGGACACACCAAAAAAGACGTCCTGATAAATGGTGAAGAATTTTACCTCGGGGAATGATTTTGTACTCGGGACCACAGAGAGCAAAATAAAAAAAGCGAGGAGAACGATGGATGCTCGTTTCTTGCAGAATTTTTTTTATTCAAGATTAATGATTTTTTTTGAAAAGATTTGTGGGAATGGGTAAATGTACCATTGCATAAATTGGTCCAGGGAGTAGAGATCAAAAAAACAAAACACTAAAATAACTTGGTGATTGAATATGTTTCCGGTCAAAATGTAGCAATTTTCATTTTGAAAAAAAATAGCGAAGCGAAATTTATTTCAGGATGACAAAATGTTGAGATTGTGGAAATTGAATTTTGTTTGATTTTGAAGAAGTAGGGAAATGAAAGGAACAAGGAAAGAATCCACTTGAGAAATAATTTTTTAGACGAAAAAGAATGTGACTAATATGAGAACGATGTAGGACACCACGAGAAGCCAATTGAAGATCTAAAAATTGGACATTTTCATAATTAGAAAAATAGAAATATTTCAACTCACCGTCACAGCAATAAAACGTGGATGTAAAACGGTGTCATAATGTTTTCCGTTTTCGCCCGACCTGGATATATACCAAGACTCAAGAGAGGCTGAAATGATTAGACACGCCAAGCAGATGACATAGAGGATGAGCAGCTGAAAATAATGCGTTTGATATGTTAATTGCTAGATGAGAAAGATATTGAATACGGGAAAATGTGAACTCTACGTGAAAATGTCTAATTTTTAAAATTTCCAGTTGCAGTAGCAATTAGTAAGATGTACGAAAAACTGATTTTCAATTGATTTTAGGAAATTCCGATTATTTTCAGGAGACTGAAGCTTAGCTGTCAAATTTCTGAACACTACAAAATTTTTCATAGCTGTAGAACCTGTAGAACCAGCCTAAAAACATTGCATTCACAAATATCGTAAACACTCTAATATATAGCCTCTCCTAATCGAACACCACCGTCTAATAGAACATTCTCTGAGCTGGGTTTTGAAAAATAGAAGGCCACCCTTCCATTGAACGCCCTCTCCAATTGAACGCCACCCCTAATAGAATGCTACCTCTGAAAATAAATTACGATCCTCTAGATTATCAATTTGTTGTTTGTATAGAGGGTTTCTTCCTGTTTTTCCCACTTTCCGCCTGTTCTTTGACTATTCAACTGTTTTTCTTCTTCCGGCACTATCCTAAATTCAATTATCTATGTTTTCGGTAAATTTTAAAAGAATTCTGAGAATCATCCGAAACTCCGGGAAATATTTTTCCGCACACAAAATGGGGTCGAATAATAGAGCGCCGCCACCCTCTAATAGAACGTTCTTCCGGCTATGCAAAAAATAGAACGGCATGGTATTAAATTAGAGTTTTTATGGTATCTTTATATTGGAAGTTGTTTTATTCAGTTATTTGCCGACTTCTGAACGACATCCGTTTTTCACGCTGTCAGTACGAAAATTGGTCAAAAAATTGGCATATTTCAGACATCTACAATTAGCTGAGAAACGAGGCGCTTCAAAAAACTCTATCAATGTTTGAAATCGAGGTCTGTTTAACACCCTCCAAGTAATTTCTAATAGATTGAAAACTTGACAGCCGAGCTCCAGACTCCTTAAAAAGGTCAAAAAGGTCGAAAATCTACCAAAAAATATACAGTTGTAGATCTTATTGACCGGGACTGTAATTTATTAAATTCACCTTCATTTTTCCAATAGTTCCAACAACATCTTTGTCGAAGAGGTTTGACAGGAATACCATTACAGCAAAAATCCAAGTGAAAAACAATATTGCCAAAACTAGAGTTTGCCATCCAAATCCCTGAAAACGGTTTTTAATGAAAACTATAAATTTTGAATTTAAAAATTAGCTATAACTATAACTCACATTATAAACAAACTGAAAATAGAGATTAGTATCCCTCCAGATGAAAGAGCACGCAAAAAGAGCAGCGAATCCGAACAAGACTTGGATGAAATTGATGAAGCCGTGCAGCGTCCGCAAAAATTCGAAATTCATTTTTCCTGATTCCTGAAAAAGTACAGTGGTAATCATAAAATCAACGAAGATAATGAGAAAATCGGACGGGGCAAAAAGAATGAATGACGGTCTCAAACTCTCTAAGTCGTGTCTCCTTCGGGTAAATACCATTGCAAATATTAACCCCGGTTGGTGGGAGATGATGGTGGCACAAACGCACGCAAACAAGACTTTCACTACTCGGAATAGAGGTAAGAAAAAAATTGAAAAAAAAAGAAAAAGAAGAGGAATCGCACTTTCTGATCTGTATGCCTGTATGCCAGTCACACAACTTGAGTGTCTACACCAATTTGCAGTTTGACAGCGTTCCGAGATAGTTTTTGCTATGGCTAATACATATTTTCTGCATAGGTTTGGGAAAATTCTAGGCGTGCTTGTTTTTGAGTACTGATAACGCACAGTTTTTATTGACACGCATGACGAAATAGATTGTTGGAGCCCAAGGAGAACCGTAAAGTTGTAGTGCACAACGAAACTTTATGAACTGATTGGAATTTGGACGAAAATTTCTTTTGAAACTTTTCGGAATCAGAAATTTTGGATTGCGAAATTTAAAGTGAAAAAAAATTTTGAAAACTGTAATTTATATAAACTCTAAGCAATAAACACAAACTGATAACGTATTGCTAACACTTTTAACCTTTACTATGAAATTTGCAAAAACGTTGCGATATATACTAACTATTGGAAGGACTCAATTGAAAACTGATGATGGCATCTGGATAATGCAAACAAAAACGAAAATGAGAAAGAGGTAGGTAAAACAAACACTGGAGGAAAATTTTAAGGGATGAAGATAGAAACAGCTCAACATGTGACCTGAAATAGGAAAATGAAATGGAAAAAAATCAAAAGATATGTAAACCTAGGAAATTGACGGAACTGTTCTGAAAAATTGCTCGATATTTATTGAAAAAAATAAGAATGACGTTCTCAACAATGACCGTGAACATTTACAGAGCAAACAAAACAAGACAAGACGTTCTGAAAACATTGATAGAAACGACACGAGTTACAGGTATTGAAAATTGGCTGATTGGTTTCAAAATGTTAAAAATATTGGATGAAACAGCTGGTCAAACTGTGCCGATAAGAATAAATAGGGAGCAAGGGAGATAAAACCAATAATGGCTGGATTTTTTGACGTTTCTCTTCTTTTTAAATATTTATTAATAAAGTTCAATACTATCAACTCCACTACGGCAGCCACAAAACACGACTGAGTCACAGTTCTGATGAGCTCAGTATGTGTCCAAAAAAGAAAATTAGAAAAACTGTTTGCTATGGGTTAGCAAATAGATCTGAAAAAACGGGTGGTTGGGCAGGGGAAGGACGGAAGAATGAGTCACAAAAGATCAGGTAAAAATGGTATGGAAAAAAGTGATTGTTGTTGGGAAACAGAGTTCTAGTGGCATTTTTCGAATTTGTTGCGCGCTGAACGGAAAATTGTTTATTTGCATTTCAGTAGCTTCTAGAAAATAATAAATGACGTGTAGGAGAAATTTGAAGAAAATAGAAAATAGTTTTGAGGGAAGAAACAGTAACCCTGATCATTGAAAAGAAAAAATTCAAGTGAATAAACGCAAGAAGATGATTTTCAGAGTATTTAGTTAATTAGTTTTCATGTAAACTGTTCTTCCTATATTGGGGTTTTCTGAAGAAAAAAACATTTCAATTTGTTTAATTTTGTATTTTACCCCTCTTTTTTATTTGGCAATTCTTGAATTTTAATAATTCAAATATGTTATTCCAGAAATTGCAAAAAGTTCAAGAATTCGACAAATTTCAAAATAATTGGGTAAACGTTTTTTTTTTAAGTTCTTGAAAAATGTTTCATAGTTTGAAACATAACTCTTTTCTTCTTTTGAAATTCAATTTTGAAATCCGATTCCTTATATTTCATAAGCACTTCAAATTTCAAATTTATTAGTTGGGCCAGAGCTGACCAAAACAAGTTTAAGGTTTCGAAAAAATTCCAAAAAAAATAACCGAACGAAAAAGACATTCAATGCTGGATTGAAATTCCGGATTGATATTAGAACTATTTCCGAAAAAAACGCGAGATTTTTTTGATTTGTGATCCAAAAAGTTTTCCCCAATATTTTTCCCCAAAAATTTCTTGCCCACCATTTCAGTTTAGGACCAATTTCAATTTTTTGATTTTTGAAATACACATTTTTCTCAATTCAACTTTTTTCGTTTTCATCATTCCATTAATTTTCATATATCTCTTGATAATTTTTTTTCTCGATTGAAATATCATTACGACGTCTTCCTTTAGCATCCAATAATAAATTTTCTCCAAAACCTGTTCTGCTTCATTTTTCCGAAGCGAATTTTCGTAATCCATGATTGCCAAAAAGAAGAAGTCGAGAATTCTCCAATCGTTTTCTATCTTCTGTTGTTCTCGACTTGTCCGCCAAGCCTTCGGGCAGGCTAATCAACGCAAAAACAGTTTTCTCTCTTTTCTCGACCGTTGATAAGGTGTCTCTTTCGTTTTCATCTGTCCAGTCGAAATAACCGGCGCCGTATCCAGTTGCAACACGTTTCTAACAAAAGAAACGCCTCATGAAGCCGACGGCTTATAAATGTAGGTCAGCATTAGCCGATCCCGCCTTTTCTCTTCCATCAGTAGCTCTAGTGTGAGACGAAAACGCAGTGTGCTTATCCGATCGGTATAATGAAGTATTTCATCGTATTAGCTTGTCTTCTTGTCGCCGCCGAGGCTTACACAAAATCGGGCAACCCATTCAAAACCAAGAAATACAAGTGTGTCGAGGTTTCCGATGATGAAGAAATTCAAATTGTTCCAAAGAAGGTAATTCTTTTTCAATTTAAATGAATTCTTCGAGTTTTTGTTTCAAGAAGTCTGCCTCTTCCAAATACCCATGGAAGGCCGAGGAGGAGAAGGTGAACCGTAGAAATGAAAATTCCCGATCCACAGAGAGCATCGAAATGCCAATGGCTAGAAAAGTGAGCTCTTTTTTTCTTGACTTCGCCTTTCAAAATTTTTTTTTCTCTAGGTATTGACCAAGAAAATTATCTCCACCACCCCACCAACTATCTCTGATGTGCAAAGAGATGCCAAAGGAAGACCACTGATCCTCTCTCCAGAGCACTGCAAACAGGTAAACATTTTTTCAAACATTGATGAAATAGCATCCTCTCCAGCAGAATACAATTTATCAATACATACCCCGGTTTACAGGTTGAACACTATTCCAAGATGTACGGAGTGAAGGATGTTTTGGGATGGGTACAAAACAACTGCTCATTTGCCAAGATGTACGTTCCAGGAGCTACTTGTGAGGAGATCAACATTCTTGTTGCCTCTTGCTACAAGAAGAGAAATTAATAAGAAATTGAGACGAAAAACCAAGTGTCACAACTAATAATTGTATTAAACTCTAATTGAAGATCTTAAACTTGTGAAATCATGAACAATATGTATGTGCAATGATAAAAACACATTTAATGAATATATTTTCTTTTTTTATGTCCTTCGAAAGCCAGCTAGCATCAGACTGCCCGATTTCCATTGTTTCGATTCCGATTTTCGATGACCGCGCATGCGTCTTGCTTTTTTGATTTCCTCCACTGACGATGGTCGTCGCGAATGTCTGTAAGTAGATTACCGATACGATGAATCGAATTATCTCCCAACTGGTAACCTTAATTCTGAACTATCAATCATGGAATCCTATGCCGAGACAAAAAAATGACGACGAGAAAAGATAAAGTGTCAGACTGACTAATGTCTTTGAAACTTGCACTTTTCTCTCCTGGCTGTCTCTCCTCCATCATCATTTCTTCGGACGTATCACTTCATCACCCGAGATCCGCAGTTTTTCATTTTTCTAAGCGCAAAAAGTGATGGAAGTGTAATCTCTCCCGTCACTACTACGGGTGGGTGTTCATAAAACAAAATGCGTTGTCAGAAGATGATGTATTAGTTGAGAATTTTTTCAAACTGGGCATTGGCTTTACCTGGGTTTTACGTGCAGTAGCTCTTTTCCGTGAAGAGATACTATAGAAGTGCGAGGTGCTGATGATGAACTGGAACTTCCAGGTTGGATGAAAATTTGAGGAGACTGGGCAGATGATGGAGCTTGTGATGAGGCCATGGATAACCTAAAAGGAAGATTCAGAATTCATGAGTTTCCAAACTCTTTTCCAGACCTCGCCACATTTAACAACAATTCTCCGGTTGTGGTTATACCTTCGTGACCACCGGTTGCCACGACATGCTTACTCATTGCATATCTCTGTTGGCGTTCGTATTCTTCATTCTGTTCCGCTATAATCTCCATTGTTCTTCGTAGAGCGGCGTTCTTACCACCCGCTGATCCGGTTACCATCCAAGTATCTGATCCGGAGTTTGGCCTGGAAAAAAAAAATTATGTGACAAAAATAGTGGAAAAGTATGAACAGGAAAAACAGACGAGACTCAATTTTGGAAAGTGAATCAGAAAATTAATCTTTCAAATTTTCAAAACCCATCTTGTAACCCGAGATTTAGATTACAATTTCAGGATAAATTGAAAGTAGCATATTCAAACATTTCTAAAAATTTTACATCCCACTTTTTAGGTTCAGCGGAGTTAGATGAGTTTCAGTACCAGAAATCACGTTTTTAGTGCAAAGACAGCAGTTTTTGAATACGGTTATCTCAATATCTCCGACGTTTTTTACACGATATTTGATGCGTTTCAAATAGAATTGAAAGAAATTTAATATTTCAGGCAATTTCTTAAAAATTGTTTTTTTCAATTTTCGAGTTTTTCCACTTTGATGGAAAAGTGTCCCCATACTTGGAAATGAGGCTTGACTAACGTTGTTTTAAAATATATTTTTTGACAACTAAAATCGATTTGATAGGATTGTTTGAGTACTGCAAAGTGACATCAAAAACGAGTTTTATAATTTCAATTTTAGTTAGACAAAGAATATTACACTTGAAATAAGCTATGATGCGTTCGACTTGTAAAACGTATCAGGTCTTCAAAGTCATCTATTAAAAACCTCACCTCAACGTTGAAACCCAATAAGCTAAGAATACCATCAGCGGAATGGAAACTATGACAATTGGTATAATCGCAACATTCATAAATTCTGTCATACTGTCGAACCGAGGATACCTAAAAACTTACAACGATAAAACTGATAAAAACTGCCAACAACTCACTTTTCATAAGCTATGATGTGCCATCCAAGTCGATTTGCAATTTCCTGGTGGTGTTTTTGAAGAATGTCTAGAAAGTATGAGTTTTTTGACCGTTTCAACGTTTACGCACCAGACAAAACTTGTCTCGGGAGGAATGGTCGTTGTTGCCGTAGGTTGGGATTCGAAAAATGAGGTAGTAGTACAAAAAATTTGATTTGTATCGTCAGTGATTCTCGTCGTGGAAATCCTTCGAGTATGACAATTTGCTCGGGACCAAAAATCAGCCTGAAAAAAGTGCACTTGATTTATCGGTACTCATTCGACAACTAACGAGCTTCTGAGATTGCAAGCAGTTGCATTCTGACAATATTTTGTCACCACTTTTGCCATGGTTCGACGAAATGGAGAAATGAGATCTGGCAGTGGCGAATCAACGCAATAGGCTACCCGTACACCAGCCGTCCAGTCAAACATGTCGAGTTCTGAAAATTAAAAGCTACCTGAATTCTTAAAATGTACCGGAAAACCTTTAACAGAAGGCCCCTGTACTGTTAAGTTTTAGCTCAAGTATCTCAGTTCCTATGCAAGATATCAAAAAATGTGTCAACTGACGGAAAAATTTTTTTATGATGAACAATTTATCAGTTGACTACTGTTTTATATCTTTGACAGGAGCCAAGAAAATTGGTTCCAAATTAAAAGTTCATAGGGCATTATAGGCTTTACAGTCACAAATAATTTGAAAGTCCTTCGTTGGTTTTATCTTTCAAAATTACAAAAAATTCTCATGAAATTTTTCAATTCGAATCGTGAAAAACTAATAAAAAACATCTCACATCCTATAAATCTCAGCATTATCACATCTGAACATATGTCTTCCATGTGATCCACACATGTTGCAAAATGAGAAATTTTCAAAGAAAATGAAAATAAATTACAAACCGACTCGAGACGGGTCCTCGATATGTGAAGTATAAGTTAATACATTGGGAAAGGAAAAAAAGATGAACAGGAGACTAGCTGACACCGACGAACATTGCATCTCCTTTGGGAATGAGTGAGAGTCTGGCCGTCCTGCAACAAAAATAGGTGCTGATTGTTACAATTTTCATGTGGACATGTGGCAGATGGCTAGTCAATAAACATTGGCTTAATAACAAAAAGAGTGATTAGGTTAAGTTTCAAAAAACTAGTTTGCAAAATTTAGAAGAAAAATACTGGAGCAAACGGCAACACAAAAGAATTTGATTTCGTTTTTCGACCGGAAACTTAAAGAGTTGATAACATGTGTTTTGAGTTAAAAGGGGAGGGCCGTGCAAAGTGGGCGCCACCGCTGTCGGGATAAAGGGGAGCCATTTGAAAATCAGAGGGATAAAATGACCCAAGTACGAAAGGATAAGATAGAATGAAGTTGTCGGTAATAAATACGCCGACAAGCCTAATAATTCAAAAACGACATCAGTTTTTGTTCGATTTTCGAGTTTGGTGCTGCCGTTGCGAAATGAAGATGAAGCCGCGTTTTTGAAGAACACAGCTGCTTGCGTCTTGCATCGGCACATATGCTCACAGCCTCTCTGTAGGTTTGAGAAAATGAGAAGCGTGTGTATATTAGTTGGAGGATTTTTGAAACGCGATCTCCCTCGACGTTTTGTCGGTTTTTTTTTTCACATCCTGACAATGAATTGAGCTTCTTGTCAGTTTATGAGTGTTTTTTTTCATCAGGTTTAAAGTTGTAATGAGCAATAACTGTGAAAGTGAAGGGTCTTATGAGCGACATATTTTATTGCTTCTTGCAGTAATTTTAAAGATTGTTGGAGGTAATTGGGCAAGAGGGGCACTCTAATTTTTTGGGGCTTGCACGAAACACAAAATTGGAGTTTAAAAAGTTAAATACGGGGTTACCATATTGTTCTCACAAATTTTGCTGAAACAGAAACGTGTCTTTATATATAAAACATTATGTGAATTTTTTCAAACTAGTTTTTATGCATTGATACATATAACAGTTATTGAAACATGGGACCATTCTAAAATAAAATATGGTCATTTGGATCGGACTCACTTGAAAAAGACGTTTCCAGATTTCGAACCAGCGTGCAAAATAACACTAAAAATGTTTGTTTGTTATTTGAATATCCTGGACCCAAGGCAAGTTTCAGGCCAAAAAAAGCCAAAATATGAACCTTGACCATTCGCAAAGTTGTTTTTCGATGTAGTTCACATTCTAACGAAATTTAATTCAAAAAAAAACACCTGAGAAAAAGGTAAGTCGTCTTCCAACTCCGAAAACCGGAAAATCGTTCAGAAAAATATTGTATAGTAAATTTTTATGCAACCATTCCTCTCCCGCAAAATGAATCAGCTTTAATTTTTTTTACTTCTGATTTACTGAGAGACTTGTAATGTCGGATTTTTAATTCAAAGTCTGAATTTTTGTTTCTTTGAGAATATAGTATAATATAGACCCCAGTCTACACAATTGAGCTGAGGTACAAAGACAGAACGAGAATTGAGAATGAAAAAAATCGATGTAACTATCAACACCTGTCGACAATCCGCCGGGTCTCTGTTTGGACAGTACCAGTTGGGACCGGTCCAAATGATCATATTTTATATTAAACGTGTCTTAAAATTGAATACTTATAATATCAAATTTCAAAAACAAATTAGAATGACTATTTACAGTGAACAATTGGCTTGAAGTTTGTCCAGTGAACGTGTCTTAATTATGTTTCCCTTTCTCCAAAACTCTTTGTTGATTTCGAACAGGTTTTCCGCGCTTTTGTTATGGGAGATTTCGAATATAAAATTTTTTCGAAATGTTCTACAAAGGCCATAGCGCATACCTATCGGCACTCCGACAAAGTTCCGAAAAGGCCATAGCATGTACCTGTCGGCACTCCGACAAAGAGGACCGTCGTCGGATGTAGCGGAAAAAACACAAAAAGAAGAGACGGAGAGAGGAAAGAGAGCAGTTGTGGTAGAAAGAGGCGTGGTTTGCTGGGCCGGCACTATATAAGGAGCGTTGATTCACACATTCTTCATTCATTCTCAATAATGCCTTGAGGGCGGCGATCTGCTCCCATGGTGTTATGAGAATGGTTTCACAAGTATCCGTGTGTAGGATGCTAACTTTGATTTTTCTCAATATCTAATGTATTTTCGTCTGACTTCGGTTTTGCAAAAAGGTGAGTTCACTATGTGCAATTGATTTATCGAATATCAGGAGTACTTTCCAGTAATTTTTTCAAAATTAGTATAAAAATTAACATATTCAGTTGAAAAAAACGTAATATCCTTTGTTCGAAGTCAAGAAAACCTTTAATACAGCAAGAATTTGTTATTCCAATTTTAAATTTATCATCATCGAAAAACATTTTGATTTTTGCTCAAAGTTGGGCTCAATTTTTCAGACAGCAAAAACAAAAAAAAATGCATCATTTTATATCGCTTGTGTTTTTTTCAAATATTTGTTTCAGACGTTGTGCAACTTTAACAAGATCTGATCAATTCCAAGATGACAGTTTCGAATGTCATTGATCAGATCGGAGAGGCCAAACAACGTAATCGGGAGCTTCAATTAGAATTTGAGAAGTGGAGAAGTGGTTAGTTCCCCTGTTATGACACAAATAAATGTTTCAAGGAAAAGTTTCAGGAACCATCAAACTCTCATGCAACTGCGATTCAGTGGACGCCAGAGAGAAATATCCCACAATTTTCATTGCAGAATGCAGAGGTAAAACGGCTTTTAAATACTCGAAATATTACTTTAATTTCAGACCTGTCCGAAAGATTCGTCCGAGAAGTTGATCAATTGAAGAACCCCCTGCTCAGTGCCTATAACTTTTACCGGGTACAATCTGCGCGTAGGAGAGAAGGTAAGCTTTCTTAAATTTGGATGCTGAAATGAAAAAAAAAACATCTAGCTAAAGCTGAACTTTTCAGTGGAATGGAAGCAATTGTCGGAAGCGGAGGAGAGAGTTTGGATGAAAAAGTTCAATCAATGGGGTTCGAATTTTGATTGAAATACTCTTAATTATTTTTATGATTTTATTCTCTAAGTTCTCGAATAAAAAGCTTATCGAAAAAAATTTTCAAATCGATACAAAAACTGGTATCACCAAATGCTTAGTTAGAATTGTTGGAAAGAGATAATTTGATAAAACATGTATCAATGCATGAAACTTAGTTTGAATTTTTATAATGCTAATCTAAGCAAAATACCTAGAAAAAATGTTTTGTCTTGCCACCTTTGAAGGCTAGGAAAATGGAAAAACTGTCGAAATTTTCAAGATGAACTATGTGAACCGTTACGTCAAAATAGAACACCTGTCATCCCCTCCTTTAAAGTTTCTGAACGACACCTCACTTTCTACTCGGATTTCATATTCGAATCATGCGCTCAAAGAAGAGCAGTCTAGACAATAGTTTTCCCTGGTTTTGAAATCGCAGACAATTTATAAAAATTTTTTGCATATTTCCAAATCAGACATTATTAGAGTTAGGAGTTTATCTCAACGTTAAATCGCTACTTGTTGTATTTCTCCAGATGTCTGAAGACGGTGTAATACAGTCAGTTACAATTTTTTCATACTAGAAGTTATTTTATTGTCAGGTTCTTAAAAAAACAAAAAACTCACAGATAAAGGTTTTTTTCGAAATTCTTAAGCGCATAGTTCTTTTTTCGGAAACACTGCGAGCACAACTGATAATAAATAAATTGATCTGTTCGCTTTTATAGACTTTCATATTGCATTGCTGTCTCTTGTATTCAGTTTGGTCCTGAGTTGTTTAGTATGTTTTTTTTTCAGCGATAGTTTTTTTCTTAATTTTAGAGAAGTTCTGCTGATTCAACTAAATTTCATGAGGAATTCTTTTCAATTTGATGTACATTGGAAACAAAATCCTATGCGAAGAATTGAGAATGAAAAAAATCGATGTAACTATCAACACCTGTCGGCAATCCGCCGGGTCACTTTGGACAGTACCAAATGGGTCCGGCCCAAATGATCATATTTTACGTTAGAAGGGTCCCAACATTGATCATAAAATAATATCAAAGTTTAAAAACGAATTTGAAGGATTCTTGACTCTTTCCGGGAAGAACGGTCCCAAAGCGGGACCGTCGGTTCCAACGAATTGCGACAACGGTCCCAATGTCCCGAGAACGGTCCCAACGTTTCGACAACGGTCCCAAAGTTCCGACAACGGTCCCAACGTTCCAACAACGGTCCCAACCAGGCTTAATCTGGAAACTCTATTGGAAGGCAATTAATTACTCTTTAACTACACCACTCTTTGACTACACCTACTCTTTGACTCCACATTCTCTTTGACTAAAAAGGCTCTTTGACTACATTTATCTCTTTGACTACACTTGTCTATTTGAGTACAAAGTCTCTTTGACTACACTTTTTAAACTTTTTAAAATTTTAAAATTTTCTGCAGTTTTTGTGGGTGTTCTCACAGGATATAAGAAGAATTAACTTTGGGACCGTTGTCGAAACGTTGGGACCGTTCTCGGGACATTGGGACCGTTGTCGCAATTCGTTGGAACCGACGGTCCCGCTTTGGGACCGTTCTTCCGGAAAGAGTCAAGAATCCTTCAAATTCGTTTTTAAACTTTGATATTATTTTATGATCAATGTTGGGACCCTTCTAACGTAAAATATGATCATTTGGGCCGGACCCATTTGGTACTGTCCAAAGTGACCCGGCGGATTGCCGACAGGTGTTGATAGTTACATCGATTTTTTTCATTCTCAATTCTTCGCATAGGATTTTGTTTCCAATGTACATCAAATTGAAAAGAATTCCTCATGAAATTTAGTTGAATCAGCAGAACTTCTCTAAAATTAAGAAAAAAACTATCGCTGAAAAAAAAACATACTAAACAACTCAGGACCAAACTGAATACAAGAGACAGCAATGCAATATGAAAGTCTATAAAAGCGAACAGATCAATTTATTTATTATCAGTTGTGCTCGCAGTGTTTCCGAAAAAAGAACTATGCGCTTAAGAATTTCGAAAAAAACCTTTATCTGTGAGTTTTTTGTTTTTTTAAGAACCTGACAATAAAATAACTTCTAGTATGAAAAAATTGTAACTGACTGTATTACACCGTCTTCAGACATCTGGAGAAATACAACAAGTAGCGATTTAACGTTGAGATAAACTCCTAACTCTAATAATGTCTGATTTGGAAATATGCAAAAAATTTTTATAAATTGTCTGCGATTTCAAAACCAGGGAAAACTATTGTCTAGACTGCTCTTCTTTGAGCGCATGATTCGAATATGAAATCCGAGTAGAAAGTGAGGTGTCGTTCAGAAACTTTAAAGGAGGGGATGACAGGTGTTCTATTTTGACGTAACGGTTCACATAGTTCATCTTGAAAATTTCGACAGTTTTTCCATTTTCCTAGCCTTCAAAGGTGGCAAGACAAAACATTTTTTCTAGGTATTTTGCTTAGATTAGCATTATAAAAATTCAAACTAAGTTTCATGCATTGATACATGTTTTATCAAATTATCTCTTTCCAACAATTCTAACTAAGCATTTGGTGATACCAGTTTTTGTATCGATTTGAAAATTTTTTTCGATAAGCTTTTTATTCGAGAACTTAGAGAATAAAATCATAAAAATAATTAAGAGTATTTCAATCAAAATTCGAACCCCATTGATTGAACTTTTTCATCCAAACTCTCTCCTCCGCTTCCGACAATTGCTTCCATTCCACTGAAAAGTTCAGCTTTAGCTAGATGTTTTTTTTTTCATTTCAGCATCCAAATTTAAGAAAGCTTACCTTCTCTCCTACGCGCAGATTGTACCCGGTAAAAGTTATAGGCACTGAGCAGGGGGTTCTTCAATTGAGCAACTTCTCGGACGAATCTTTCGGACAGGTCTGAAATTAAAGTAATATTTCGAGTATTTAAAAGCCGTTTTACCTCTGCATTCTGCAATGAAAATTGTGGGATATTTCTCTCTGGCGTCCACTGAATCGCAGTTGCATGAGAGTTTGATGGTTCCTGAAACTTTTCCTTGAAACATTTATTTGTGTCATAACAGGGGAACTAACCACTTCTCCACTTCTCAAATTCTAATTGAAGCTCCCGATTACGTTGTTTGGCCTCTCCGATCTGATCAATGACATTCGAAACTGTCATCTTGGAATTGATCAGATCTTGTTAAAGTTGCACAACGTCTGAAACAAATATTTGAAAAAAACACAAGCGATATAAAATGATGCATTTTGATAGAAACCTTGTGCGGAAAGGAAGGTGTTCTTGAGCAACTTTGAAGAAGGGAGAACAGGAGTTTCATTCTGACGTAACGGTGCATTATGCTCAGTGTTAAAGTTCGTGTTTTAGAATGTCCCTCACCATCGAAAAAGACAAGACATAAAAAAGTTTTCTAGGTATTAAATACCTAGAAAACTTTTTTATGTCTTGTCTTTTTCGATGGTGAGGGACATTCTAAAACACGAACTTTAACACTGAGTATAATGCACCGTTACGTCAGAATGAAACTCCTGTTCTCCCTTCTTCAAAGTTGCTCAAGAACACCTTCCTTTCCGCACAAGGTTTCTATCTGAAACCCGCCCCCGAAGAAGACCTGTCTAGACAAAGTTTTTCACTTACTTTGAAATTGCAGATAGTGTATACAAAACTGTTCACATATTTCAAAATTACACAATGTGAGAGATAGGAGTTTATCTCAACAGTATTTAACTACTTCTTTTATATTTTTCCAAATTTCTGAAGACGCCGTAGTACAAACTTCTCCAATTTTTTGTACTCGTCTAGAAGTTATTTTTTTGTCAGGTTTTTCGAAAGACGAAAAACTCACAGATGAGGTTTTTTTCTCGACATTTTTTAGCACATTGTTCTCTTTTTTTTGGAAACACAGCAGGCACAACTGATAATAGATAAATTGATCAGTTCGCTTTTACAGACTTTCACATGGCATTGCTGTCTCTTGTCTTCAGTTTGTTTCTGAGTTGTTCAGTTTGTTTTCGAAGTGATAATTTTTCTCAATTTTAAAGGAGTTCTGCTGATTCGACAAAATGTCATGAAGAATTCTTATCAAGTCGAAGTACATTGGAATTTAGTGTTACACGTTCTTCAAACGATGAGTAAATGTTCATTTTCATTTTTGAAAAAATTAATAATTTGTTCGAAACCCTATGCAAGTAACTTACAGAAACAATGACTGATTAAAAAAACTGACACTTGAAAACCTTGTGGGTGACGCTCAAGTCGATTAGCAAAGCGCGCCCCAAAAACCGAATTCAGATTATGGTGAAATATGATTTCTAGCATCTCTAGAATTTTTTATGGGAAAAATCACATTTAGTTGCGGAATTGGTCTGAACCAGGTAAAAGTCTGAAATAATAAATTTTTGCCGCACCTTCTTGAGATTTTCAGATGTCAATTCTTTTATAGTTCAGAAACACATGTTTGATATTATTATGATAAATATTCATTTATAATTCAGTTAGTAAACTTTTTTGATTAACTTTGAAAACCTTTCTAGAACATCTTTTTTTTATTTTTCATTTATCTTTCCCTATCTAAAAATTAATGACTCTCTTTGTAAATTACTCCGATTTGATGCCATTGCACTTGCCAGATAATATAGGCGCACATCTATAATTGTCAATTTCCCAGCGGTCCTTTTTCATAATGAGGTAGGTTTCCGTTTTGTCTGCACATTATCTCTTTTAATATCTTTTTCATCTTGGCGCCGATGCTGAAAAAGTTCTCGATCCACACTAATCTCTAATCGCCTCTCCCACACTCACAACACAATGCGAGATCGCTTCATTTCAGTGAATTCAACCTTTGCTGTTTCAGATGCCCAGGAGAAATAGCACGAAGAAGGGGGTAGATTGAGTTATTCAGTCTTCTCTTTAATGCCCATAGGCTCATGCGTTGCGGGCAACGGCCTCTTTCTTTTCCTGTCTCGTTGTCCCTTGTGTCTCTGAATATTTCACCTCGTTTTCTATGCGTTGTTTTCTTGTGTGCGTTGGTTCCAGCAAGTGGCCTGCGCCAATGGGATAGAAAGAGTGCGCGAGAGAATTCCATGTGCCCTTTGTTGTTTTATGCGAAATCGAATAAGTGCTTCTATACTTTTCCAACAGTATCCTTTTTCATACTTTTTGGTTATTGTGTTCCTTTTCATTCTCTCTACCAGTCATTGAAATTCTGAAAAAATGCCTTCAAAAACCAAAAAATGAGAAATTAAAAAATCGAAGCATGGATAATTTTGAGCCATTGAAGAAATGAATTGTTCAGGTATTGTTTTTATTCTATCAATTTCAATGTTTTCTCTTTTTTCCATTGTTTTGAAACCCATGAAAATTCCTGAATTTCCAATGACTCATGATTCTACAATTCTTTCAGAAAATGTGAAATTCCTCCTTCACTCATGATTCATTCATTGGCAGATTTATTCTCCTGGTTTATTCTAACATTTGTTTCGTATCATCTCTAGCTCTCTTACTACAATTTACCAGTAAAAAAATGAGACAAAAAACATTTTCCGTTTTCGTTCAGAGACACCACTTTTTTCTATCTACCTGATTTTCTATCACACCTGCTTCGAATCTACATTTGTTTCCAAAGAGCAGCTATTGGTGCTTCTCTCCTAATCCGGCTTTCACCATGTTTCCGCATTCTCTGAGATATCCTATTAGCGCGAACAACGTTTTTCACCTTTCCCATGACGTCTGCCCGCACATTATTTTTTTTCTCAATATTTTTTTTTGGGAAATGATTGTTTTGAAACAACAAACCATACAACCCGAAGACTATATGAATCATTTCCAATCTTTTTTTTCTTTTCTTCTCATATTTTTCTTCTCCTTTTCCTCCTTCAGACTAAATTGAGTATTATTCAGGACAAGATGGAGGAAAACGAGCCAAACTGGAAAAACTGGAAGATCCGCCCTTTCCATGTCCTCCCAAATAACAATATCGTCTATCACGAGAAGGAGGCCCCACGTAGGACTGAATTCAAAAAGCACGCAGAAGAAAAACGCGTATATTCATTACGTCTGATGAGCGGTTGGCCACCTGAAAAAGGAAGATACACGACTACAACGCATTCGGAATACGAGACGCGGCTCCATAACACGCGATTCTTGCCGGGGCATCTGCGACCAGCAACATCTTATGAGTTTTTGACAGAGAAAAAGGAGATGGAGATAAGGAGACATTTCCTGAGAATCGCGGCCACTTACGACTTTCCGTTGTGCCAAATGGACTATGAGAACTTCACTTTGTATGTGTGCTTGAATCCAAATTGGGCTTCTACGAATGGAATGCCGGATCCAAATGCACATCTCCATGTTCAAGAGATTTTTACTGCAAAGCGCTATCCAACCGGGCTCACTCTCTTGTTTCCCCCACGAGAAAAAGATGAAATGGTTGATGCGGTGGTTCAGGAGGTGAAGAGTCTGATTTCTCCGGACAAATCGGTATGACTAAAGACTATTATCGTTTAGTCAATATTATGATTTTTAGCACCCACTGGTCCTAAGTGTCAAGGAAAATCCGGTTGACATCCTTTTGCGTATGGCGGATATTCCGAGATATGAGAGGGTATAACCATGTGGCACCGCATTAAAAATGTTATTATAACTTTTAAGAACCTTCGTTTCTATTTCCTTGCTGGACAGGTCATGCTTCGTGCAACAACATACAACAGGGATCACCGTGCATCGAAGGACGTGTGCCAGTTGGTATTAGGAGAGAGAATGGAAGAGGACGTGAGTTGGAGGGGCTTGGAAAGAAAGCAAGTTTTGATTTACGCGTGTACTCAAATGAAGATCATTGTTTTGGGAGTTGAGTCAAAGTATCACTTTTGTTCGGTCCTCAAAACATGAGTGATACACACAAACCGTATTAGCTCTAATAGAAACTCATTTAAACTGTCAACGTTGAACTCAATTATCTCGGTTTCTGTGGAAATAAAAAAAAATTGTCAACTGATAAAATATTGGTGATATTATAATGGAAAAGTGGTCAGTTGACAAATTTTGTATGTTTTTAACAGGAATTGAGATAGTTGTTCTCAAACTTTACGGCTTGGTTCTATTAGCGGAAACACGGCGAGATAAGTTATTTTTGATCGTTGAGAAGTGCGAAATCTGTCTATGCAATAGTAATCATATTCTAACCAATACAATTTACAGGATGGTGGAAGCCAAGTGAAGCTCCCAAACAGTATCATGCCGGACGAAATAACTCCTGCTATGGTTGATGCTCTTTATATTGGACTCTTGGAGAGAATGATTTCAAGAAATGTGAAAATCTCTCACTGGTTCGTGAAGCTCAATGAGAAAGTTGTCCACCACGGAGACCCTATTCGACCGCCAAAGAACATCGAAGAGATGAAAGAGCTGGCATTCCGCTTTTTCAACTGGTTGAAAGCTCACAAGGAGGTCTTCTTCAAAGGCTCACCTGATGATCTCACGAAGAATCCAATGATGGAGTTAGTCAAATCCGAGATGCGCGGAGAGAGCACTAGAAAAAAATCGGAAGATCCAGAATACGATTCTGGCGAAGAGGAGTTGAACCATGGGAAGAGAAGACGATCATTCTAGTTACCATTTCAAATAGGTAAGAAATGCAAGGAAAGACAATTATAGGTGCGTGCTTCAGGAACTTCAATTCAACTTTCAATCCTCATGGACCAAAATTTGGAAACCTGCTGTTTGTAAAAAACACCTCATTCATTCTATTTCCGCTTATACTATGCTTTGTTTCATACTTGCAAACTGGTAGAAGCGGGCTGACGACGGTCCGCTCTATATTTAAATTGCCACTTTCAATTTGCTTTGTCTTGTAGTACTTTTTGAGTTTTAGCAAACCTATTAAAGTTTTAAAAATCGAGTATTAAAGTGAATATGGGCCGCCTCGTCGTTGACTCGATTTGGTTTGTTTGCAAGTAAAGTTTACATCTATTTTTCAATCAACATGACTAATTCCTCTTAATCCCTTTCTGGAATCATGACTTGAATGCATTGTGATCGACTCCCGCTGATTTTTTTCTCACTTCAAATGTACATCTCCCTTCTTTTTCTGTAAAAATTTAATATCGCCTCTCTTTTTTGCTTCTCATTCCACTAAAACGCGTCAATTTTTTTTTTGAATGTTCGAGAACAATTTTTATAATTCCAATTTATTTTGCAGCTGTAAAATTAAGTATTGATTCTGTTTTATTTTTTGAGCAGAAATCAAGAGATTTAAAAATATTGTAGTCATTGCCGAACTTATTGGAAAAAAGGGGTTATTGAAACGGTCCCATTACCGGATCACGTTCCCATTTCCTAAATCTTGTTATTGAATATTTTCTAGACTTGATACAAAGTTATAAAGACAAGAAAATTGGAAGAATTCACGAAAAATCAGGGAATTATGAATGTAACTTTCGCAAAAATAGATGGTAGATGGGAGATAGATGGAAACAAGTTCTATATATTAGGACATATTGATGGGTTTTTTGGTTCCAATTTGGAAGCACTTTTTCGTAATAGACCCAAAAATGTTGTATAATGTTGCCCAAAAGGTGGACAAGTACTGTTCTTTTCAGTAAAAAGCATTAAATTACAGGTTTCCGAAAACGAGAATTTAACTATGAATATTAAAATTCACTTGGACCTCCCTTGATTTTCAGGACGGTCACATGTTTTCAGATCGCAATTTTCTCTACAAAAAAAGAATATCCTCAAAAGATGTCGATGACCCGCTTCTTATCAAAATCCAGTTCTATGCTAATGAAATCGAGAAATATTTGAGAAGTCAATGACCCCTTGGAGGATGATGTCATTGGACTCTGATAGATCAGATAGATTAGCCGCACGGTTTGATGATTAACGGAATACCCCCACAGGAAGCGGGGGCTTCTAGAATTATGAACAACGTGACATCTCGAATTAGTCGGCGTCTTTTCTTTAACAAAAAAGCGATATCCAATTAAGCCGCCTTCGATGTTCGCCCGCCGCACCTGGAAATCACAAGACGTGTAATATACGCACTGTGTGATTCATCAAAGCATGTACCCACTTTGTGTCGGCTTCTTCGTGAAGCATCCCCCATTTGACAACCGGTTTGTGCCTTCCACTAGCGTCTCCTATAAAAGCCAAGTGGCGGAAACACTCACACCAACATGCTTTACTTGTCTTCTTATTTCTATCTTCTCGATCATTTTTCTTCAAAAGTTCTTTTATTTCAGAAAACAACAAGAATGAAACTTCAAACTGGAGTCTCGAGCAAAGATCTTTCAACGATCAAGGAACTAGCTGAACTTGAGAAGCATAAAGAAGCTATGGAAGCTGTCAAGACAAATGAACAAAATTCCAAGGCTAAGGAAACTGGTGAAATGGATAAGAAAGAGGAAGAACAGAAAACTGATGTTGTCGACAAAATCAAGTGAGTAGTTTTGTTTAAAGTCGACAAATTTACTCTGAAATTTGAAGGAATTCCATTTACAGTGTCGCCAAAACCAAG